GCCTGCGATGGCCGCTCCACCAACACGTCCGCCAGCTCCAGCACCAGGCAGGCCCAGCTCCCGCCCCAGTGCCTTCAGCTCTGCCACGCGTGTCTGCGGGGCGGGGACAAGACAAGGCAGGCGCGGAGGAGAGGCCTGAGTGCATCTTAGTCCCCTCCGCCCGCACGTCCACCAGCTCCAGCACCAGCAGGCCCAGCGCACGGCCATAGTGCCTTCAGCTCTGCACGCGTGTCTGCTGGAGAGAGGGAGGGGAGAGGCGGGTTGTGGGTGGAGAGGAGGAGAAGGGCATAGAGGCATGGCAGCCATGCTACCAGCACGACTGCCAGCTACAACAGAAGCAGGCCCAGCTCACGTCCCTCCCAGTGATTTTGACGTTGCACGTGTGTCTGGTGGGACACGACGAGGCAGGGGAGGAGGAGAGGCCTGTGCATGGCAGTTGCACCACCAGCACGAGTGCCAGCTCCAGCACCAGCGCTTTCGGCTCTGCACGTGTGACTGGGGCAGGGAGGGAGGGAGGAGAGGGGTGAGTGGGTGGGGTGGAGAGGAGGAGAGTGCTGGGCTGTGGGCATGGTAGTCGATCCACCCACCAGCACGCCTGCCTGCCAGCTCCAACGCCAAACAGCCCCAGCTCGCGCCCCAACGCCTTGAGCTCTGCACGTGTATCTGTGGGGACACGACAAGGCACGGGAGGAGAGGCCTGGGCATGAATGTCGCTCCACCAGCACGTCTGGTGGGCGGAAGGGATAGGGACTGCGGGGAGCGGGGGCGGGATGGTGAGTGGATGCGAGGAGGAGAAGGGCATAGAGGCATGGCAGTCGCTCCACCTGTGATGGTCACGCCACCAGAACGCCTACCAGCTCCAGCACCAGCAGGCCCAACTCACCGCCCCAGCGCCTTGAGCTCTGCACGCGCGACTGGGGGGTTGGTGAGAGGGTGCCAAGAGAAGGGCGTTGGGATGTGAATGCCAGCGCCACAGGCACACCCACCCGCCCGCCAGCTCCACTGCTTCAGCCGCAGCTGCATGCGATTCTTTAGGCACTTAAAAAATACGAGAGAACTGAGGCGAATTCTTCAGGTGCCTCAAAAGAAAATGCAGCGCCACAGGCACACCCACCCACCCGCCCGCTCCACTGCTTCAGTTCAGCCCCTCCTGCATGCCTGCCCCACGTGTGAGGGACACAGCCGCAAGGGATGACTGCCATGCATACAGCATTCCCCCCAGCATTTCCCCCAGCACATGCCAGCTCCAGCTCTACCAGACCCCTGGATTCCACCAGTGCTGTGCGCATCGCTCTGCCTGTCTTTTACGAAGAAAGAAAAGAAAAGAAAGAAAAAAAAAAAAAAACCTGCGCCGCGCGCTTTCATTTCCCATGTGAAGGAGAAAGGCAGGGTGGCAGAAAGGACACGGTGTGATGAGTTTGGCACGCGTGCCTGGTGGAAAAGAATACCCTTGCTTATGGCTTGATGGCTTGATGTCTTATGTATGATAACTTTCAACCATCATCGCATGAGAACGTGAAGAATAAAAAGAATGATGGATTGCTGTCACTTAAGAATGATGGATTGCTGTCACTTAAGAATGATGGATTGCTGTCACTTAAGAATGATGGATTGCTGTCACTTAAGAGTACCAACATGGCATGATGACTCGGCTTGCACAGACCATGACACCATAGCACGATGGGACTACATATTGTGAACACTTGATGGAAATGTGACATGACGACATGACACACAGGCCAGCAGGTGAAGCGTGCGAGTTCTCACTGATATTCTTGGTGGAGGGGAACAGCTGCCGCACGCCCTGCTCCTCCAGGCTCGGCAGCCGATCCTCCGTCTGCATTGCATTGCCCGCCCCGGGAGCAGGGGGTGAGAGAGCAGGCAGCGAGAGAGCAGGCGGCAAGAGAGCAGGCGGCAAGAGAGCAGGCGGCAAGAGAGCAGGCGGCAAGAGAGCAGGGGGTAAGAGAGCAGGCGGCAAGAGAGCAGGCGGCAGGAGAGCAGGCGGCAAGAGAGCAGGGGGGGAGGGGAGCAGGGGGCAAGGGAGCAGGGGGCAAGGGAGCAGGGGGGAGGGGAGCAGGGAGGAGGGGAGCAGGGGGGGAGGGGAGCAGGGGGGAGGGGAGCAGGGGGCGAGAGATCAGCTGGAAAGTCAATGAGGCAAGAGAGAAGAAGAGGAATGCATCTGAGCTGTGTAGTAAGGGACCCTCGGTCTGCTGTGTGCACGGGGAAACGAGCATTTCCAAACAAAACAGACCTCATTCAGTAAACTTTTGGAAGAAGGTCGTTTCAAAACCACTTGAATTTAGCTGAGCCGGAAGGAACTCCCATTTTCCCATTGATTAGAGGCATAACACTCGTGAGTGACTCAGCATGCACCAGAGCGTGGTTGACTCACGCATTAGCAAGCGTCTCAAAGGGACCGAGCTGGTCTCGAAAAGACCGAGCGGGCCCTGAAAATACTGAACGTCACCCTGTGTGACTGCGTGTGGACCATTGCTGGCATAGCCCGTGAATTCCTTCCTTGTGCCTGTGCGTCCACGTGCGTCCACGTGCGACCTACACCTACACCAACCGACCTTTCGCAGAGCGGGCTCTTCAAACCATCCCACCGTCCCACTCCTACTCCAACACCAACCGATCAACGGACCACCCGACCGTCCTACTCTCCAAGAGCTACAAAAGCTATGCACCAACTCACGTTGTACGGGGCTCCGAAGGACACGTATTCGCCGGTGATGGCGGGAGGCGGGGGCGGGCCGCCCGTGCGCGTGTGGGGGTCGTAAGCAGCGTAGAGCTTGTAGTAAGGTGGCGGGGGCGGGTACGTCGATGCAGTAGCGTCCATCCGGATTACCGGAGCGACAAGAGAGGGTTTTATGTTCCGGTGCGAGCGGGAGGACAAAGGCGCTTCAGAAATACGTTGACGCCGTTGCGTCCATTGGTTCGATATTCCCAGAGCTGGAACGACATACCACCGGCCTGCTTGTGGGTCCAACATATCTACCCGTTTGTGTCTTTCCGATAGTATTCATAGAGGTGATGCTGGAGACGGGTATGAACACCTAGCTTATGCTTATATCGATTACTGAGTTTTTTTCCTTTCAGACTCTCTAGTCCATTCTTCACTTGGTTCATTCTTTGTTTGGTAGACGCGGTTGAGTACGATGCTTTGATATCTAGAGTGGTTGATTGTTTTCATCGCTTAGCAACGTACCAGTCCGAGTAGTGTACACCATGATCTGTAAACGAACAACCATTTGCTGTGCGTCTTGGGGCATAGGTGCGAAAAGGTTGGGACCATCCATACCGCCTCACAAGCGGCCCAAACCAATTTCCCAAACCCCCAGTATACGCACATGTACAGTTGCATATACAGTTGTACGATGAATGGTTATTATACAAAAGGCCATTATACAGGGCACGATATTACAAATGATCACACGGTTATTACAGACGGTCATTGAAAACAGTAAATCTATCACGGATGGTGAAAACAATATCACGGATGGTTATTCGTCGCCCCACAATGTTATCACGAATTGTCACTAAAAGAAACGCCCCCCCAAAAGTTGAAATCCTTCTCTATGCGATGTCACCAGGGCCTCAGAAGTCAGCGAAAAAAGGCAGATTTAGGTAAAAAAGGCTGAGATTTCAGGCCTTTTTCAGAATTGAGGCTGAATTTTCACCATTTTTTTGGGAAGAAACAGGATTTTTTACTATATTTGTAGTGTAAAATGGCATAAAATGGGCTGATTTCTCTGTTTTTCAGCATGGAATTTTGTACCAACTCTGATCTTTCAGCCTAGCCCGAAACCAATCTGAGGTCCTGGATGTCACACTACTTCGATTTAGAGACTAATAGCGCGTTAGGACGTGCGCCCAATCGAGTTTGATCGTCTCGTTGCAAGAACGATGCATAATGATCATAAAATATCATTTTTAGATGGGTAAAACTCAAGAGGTTTTTTGCTAAACGTCAAATACATCTAAAATCCATTCTGATTGGATCATTTTCGGGAGGCATCTGTTGGAAACAATTGATTTAAGCGCCTCTGTCGTGCCGAAACTGAGGAAAGTAGAACGAGAATGAATGAACATTGAATTAAGTGAGTACAAATAGGAAACCCTAATTGGGTTGTACCCCCTATGGGATACCCCACTATAGCTTACACAATAGCATAAGCTATAAAGTTCTGACACACCCCCATAGGCAAAGTGGGGGAGAACAAGGGGTCACAAGACCAGTCAAGCAAAGCAAAGCAACGCTCAGGGTGGATCACAAAGTCACCAGACATTTTGAGCACAAGTTCAAGGCCAGAAGGTCAGTTCACATGCAGGCGCATATATATATATATATATATATATATATATATATATATATATATATATATATATATATATATATATATATATATATATATATATATATATATATATATATATATATATATATATATATATATATATATATATATATATATATATATATATAAGAAGCTAAGTAAGCAAGAGCAAGAGTATATATATATGACAGTACAAGCAAGGTCAAGAAGTGAGCAAGTGAGGCAAGACAGGAACAAGTCCAAGCTGAGTACAGAAGCGCTGATGATCACAAGGCGCAAGTGCCTTGGTGAAAACATCAGCAGTGTTGGTCTCAGAGGCCACGTACGCAAGCCGCAACTGACCACGCTGCTGTAGCTCACGAGCAAGGAAGTAGCGGAGAGCAATGTGCTTCGTTCTGTGCTCCAGTCGCTACTCTCGACACAAGGCCAGCATGGCCTTGTTGTCTACGTACAGAACTGGAGGAGAACGAGGCGGCTCTCCAAGGTCGGTCAGCAGGTAGGTGAGCCAGCGAAGCTCCTGTGCAGCCATGGCCCCAGCGTAGATCTCAGCCTCACAACTGGAGCCGAGAACAGAAGACGAGCGAGTAGCCCGCCACGAGACAGAGCCAGAACCAAGGCTGAAGGTGTAACCCTGTGACGACCGCGGTGTAGCCTGGTCGTCAGCCCAGGAAGCGTCTGCGTGCCCAGTGAGGACCACTGGACTGCGCCCTCCAAGCACTAGCCCCATGCCCGACGTGCTGCACAAGTAGCGCAACACCCTCTTTGCTGCAGCCATATGCTCTGGTCGCTGTCTCCCAGGAGCAACATAGCGTGCGAGAATGCTAAGAGGGTATGCAAGGTCAGGTCGTGTGCAGGTCATCAGGTACATGAGGCAGCCAACAAGCTCTGGATACGGGCCACTCGACTCTACGGACTCTTCCGAAGGCAGAGCTGAGAGTGAGTGGCGAGTAGGCAGAGGAGTGGCCTGAGGCGAGGAGTACGTGAAGCCGAAGCGCTGAAGGACCTACTGCACCATGTGTGACTGAGTCAGGGTGATGGTGCGCTGTGCTCTGTCCCGAGTGATCTGCAAGCCAAGGTAGCTGCGCAGTTCACCCAGGTCTGTGCACGTGTGTCTCTTCTGCAGCTCGGACTTCACGTGGGCGAGTCCAGCAGTGTCAGCAGTGGCAAAGACCAAGTCGTCGACGTACACGAGGATGTAGAAGGGCGGCAGAGAGGTGTCGGTGCGCAGAAACAGCGACGGGTCGGCTGTAGAAGGAGCAAACCCAAGAGCCGCAAGAGTAGTCCTCAGTGTGTCGTGCCACTCACGGGGCGCCTGGCGGAGACCGTAAACTGGACGCCGGAGGCTCCACTGGGTACCAGGAGAGAACGACCCAGTGAAGCCAGGTGGGCGACGCAGCCAGATCTCCTCGTGCAGGCTGCCCTGCAAGAAAGCTGTGATGAAGTCGAGGGAGTGCAGCTCGTAGTCACGGTGAGCGGCAACGTGTTGTAGCACCTAAAGAGTGGTCATCTTCGGGGTGGGAGAGAAGGTCTGAGAGTAGTCAACTCCCTGCCGCTGACTGAAGCCACGAGCCACGTACCGTGCCTTGAAGACAGGCGGAGAACCCGGCGGCCGCTTCACCCTGAAAATCCACATGCCACTGACGATGTTCGCCCCAGGAGGGGGGACAGCGTCAACGTAGGTGCCTGTGGACTTCCAGGACGCCATCTCTGCATCCATAGTTGCCTGCCACTTAGAAGAGTAGGGACCCTCTATCGCCTCCGCGTAAGAGCGCGGAGTCGGGATGTCAAGTGCATCCGGGTCTCCCTCAGGGGTAAGTAGTACGGACACGAGATGAGGTGAAGCAGCGGCCAAGCACTGGAACTCCTCCTGCCTGTCCTCAAGGACGTCCGTGCCAAGGGTACACTCACCCCCAACGGACGGAGGACAGACAGACTCAGACTCAGCGACAAGACTAGCAGCGTAGTCTAGGCGACAGTGAGCAGCAAAGTCGACGAGCTCAGCAACTAGGGCAGACGTAGCAGTGGACTCGAAAGAAGGGTCAGTGACGACAGTAGCAAGGAGACGCTTGACAGTAGGACTGACAGCACGAAGAGAGTCTGACTCCAGGTCGGCAAGAGTAGGAAGAGAGGACGCAGGAGGAGAAGGCAAAGGGGCACGCAGAGGAGCAGTGGACGGACGCAGAGACATGTGGTGCGTGCTAGGGACAGGAGGAGGACGCTGACGCGAACCGCGACCACTAGCGCGAACAGCACGAACAGGCGACGTAGGACGAGACGCAGGCTCACGACGCTCAGCAAGACCTCGAGTAGGACCAGTGTAAGGAGAGGGAGCAGGTAGTGGGGAGGCAAGCCGTAACTGTAGCTGTGACAAGACAGGCTGTGGACACTCTAAAGAAGGAGGAGGACCTGTAGACGGTGGAAGACCAAGAACCTGCTGCAGGAGTGGAACGAAGTACGGTCGAGGCCGCGCGGCGACGCCAGACACAGCAGGGACAGCACCAGCACCCCCAGAAGGAGCACCCGCTCCAGCAGCACCTCCAGCAGCTCCAGAACCTCCAGCAGCACCTCCAGCAGCTCCAGAAACTCCAGCAGCACCAGTAGTACCCCTAGCAGGACCGCGGGCAGTAGGCTCAGCACCAACGCCCGCAGCAGCACCAGCTCCAGTCGAACCCGCAGGCCCAGCAGCTCCAGTACTCCCAGCACAAGCACCTCCGGGACCCGCAGCATCAGCACCCTCAGCAGCCGAAGAACCTCCACCTCCAGCAGCACGCCTCCAGCGCCGGGCAAACCACTCGCGCAGCTCCGGCGGAGAGAGTGGCTCCCGGCGAGACGAAGCCCCCGGAGGACCTCCAGGTGTAGCACCTGCAGGCTCAGCACTCGCAGTCGCAGCACCCCTAGGCTCAGTACCCCCAGGCTCAGTACCCCCAGCCACAGCACTTCCAGGCTCAGCACCCCCAGTCTCAGTACCCCCAGGCTCACCACCCCCAGTCTCAGCACCCCCAGTCGCAGCACCCCCAGGCTCAGCACCCCCAGGCCCGGCACCCCTAGTCTCAGCACCCCCAGGCTCAGCACCCGCAGCAGCACCAGAGTCACCAGTAACCTCGACAGGCTCAACTGCGTCTACCTGGGACACACCTGAAGGGGCAGGACCCTGAGGGGGGAGGGGGTCTACCGGGGGGGGACCTGGGACAAGGAAGAGCGGGGGTAGAGGGAGGGATGGGGTGCGGTAGGGGAAGAGGCGGTAGTAGGGGACCGACTCGTCAAACGTGACGTCCTGGGAGGACAGAACACGGCGAGAGGTGGGGTGGTAGAACTGCCACCCAGGCGCGTCAGGGGGGAACCCCAGGAAGACGCAAGGAGCAGCACGAGGGGACAGCTTGTCCGTAGACAAGTCGCGGACAAACGCCCGAGATCCCCAGACCCGGAACGCCGACGCATCGCCAACCTTCCCCGTCCACAGCAGGGCTGGGGAGGTCTGGAGACCCTGGGGTGAAGGTTGATCTGATGCGCCGCGTACCTGACCGCAAACGGCCACAGAAAATGGGGGGCAGCCGCATGCATCATGGACGTACGAGCGACGTCCATGACCATGCCAATGCGGCGCTCAGCAATCCCATTTTGCTGTGGTGAGTCCGGAAGCGTGAAGGTCTGAAGGATGCCCCGTGCACGACAGTAGGCTCGTAGAAGGCCGGAGGAGAACTCTCCGCCTCTGTCCGAGTGCAGACGCAGAACAGGAAAGTCCGAGCCGAAGCTCTGCCTGAGCTGGAGACGAGCTGCGCGGATCCAGTCGATCAGCACCTCAGTGACATCACCCTTGCTGCGCAAGGGGAAGACTGTGGTGTAACGCGAGTAGTCGTCAACAACGAGCAGGAAGTAGCGCTCGTGACCCTGTCCACGGACGCGGGCTGGGCCCCACACGTCCATGTGAAGCGTCTGCAACGGGGCCTGTATCGGAGGAAACTGGGAGGAGTGAGGGGCAGCACGTTGGCGCCCCTCGACACAAGGGACACAAGTAGGGCCAGGGCCCTGAGGAAGGGGAGGGAGGGACCGGGGGAGACCAGACACAAGAACACGGGAGGCCATGCCTCTGAGCCGAAGCAGAGAGGGGTGACCAAGGCGGTGGTGCCGGAGGATAGTCTCGTGAGAGAGGAGACGACACGAACAGGGGGCAGACTCAGGACCAGACCTGGACGCTGCAGCAAACACCTGACCTGACGCAGCTACCCTACCAGACTCAGCAGCGGGAGGAGACGCAGTGGTCAGTGTGTACAAGCTCGACCTCGGCTGACGGGTAAACGTAGCCAGGTGTCGGCCTGTGCTAGCGTCGGTGCAGTGCGTCACCCGCTGACGCGCAGGAGTGAACTGGTGGACACCCGCATCCTGGAGGTCAGCACCACTCACCAGGTTCGTAGCGAACGAGGGGAGGTAGAGACCAGACAGGGTGCCAGAGGGAGCCGCCGGACACGGGAGGACTGTGGAAAAGCGAGACAGGACAGGACCCCCAGAGGGGTCAGCCAGGGACATCGCAACCGGCCGACTAAGCGGCGTGAGAGTGGTGCGGTCCCGAAAGGAGCGAGAAGCCCCAGAGTCAAGGGTGAAGGTGAGGGAGGCCGAAGCCGACGTAGTACCTGAGAGCGCAGACTCACCAGTACCTGAGGGCGCAGACGCACTGGCACCTAGAGCAGCAGCCTCACCGGCACCTAGAGCAGCAGTACCAATGCCCGGGCCGGGCGGGAAACACCGGTAACAGTCACCCTCATCACTAATAGTCATAGCATACATTGCAACAAGGATAGCATCAAAGTCAAGATCAAAGATAGCTACTCCTGCCCTAGACAGCTCTCCCCAGCGGGGGATCTCACTAGCCTCCGGGAACTGCTAACGCCAAGCGTCCGTCAGGCGGCCAAAGCAGCGCTGGGCGTTGTGGGCACCCCCACATTGCTCACCTGCGCGGTCGCCGGTGCGAAGGACGTAGGTGCAGGGACCGCGACTTAGGGCGGGGCCGCGACGTAAGGCGGGGCCGCGAAGTAGGGCGGGGCCGTGACTAAGGGCGGGGCCGCGACGTAAGGCGGGGCCGCGATGTAGGGCGGGGCCGCGACGAGGGGCGGGGCCGCGACTAAGGGCGGGGCCGCGACGTAAGGCGGGTTCGCGATGTAGGGCGGGGCCGCGACTAAGGGTGGGGCCGCGACGTAAGGCGGGGCCTCTAGGGCGGCTCGACAAAAAGAGAGAGGGCCCGGAGCGCGACTCAGTGCGAGCGCGCTTCGGGCAGGAAAAAAAAAAATCGATGTGGTGGGCCCTAGGCACAGTTCCCACGAGGGAACCTGCTCGATACCATGAGGAAAGTAGAACGAGAATGAATGAACTATGAATGAAGTGAGTACAAATAGGAAACCCTAATTGGGTTGTACCCCCTATGGGATAACCCACTATAGCCTACACAATAGCATAAGCTATAAAGTTCTGACAGAAACATCAAGTCAGAAGCGAAGCAGAACATATCGAAGCATCGGCGAGTCAACCCTCGGAGTTTGAACAACTGCTGGAGGTTACGCGAAAGTCAAAGGTCAGCGACCTTTGACCTGACAAGTACAACGCGAGAGCAAGGACAAACAGCTGACTCGCTATTGAGCAGTTGCCCGAGTCGTCACTGTATCGAACCGCAACAACAAACAGCAAAACCGTTATTAGATATAACTCTTCATATTCCCCTGTACTCTTATAAAATCCTGTATCTATTTGTTATTAATCAATATACTTTGCCTTCACATACCAGCGCAAGATGGTTCACAACCTTTTAATAAACGCTTCCGCTATTACATCAGTCCTACCAGGAATTTAGTCCTGTAAAGATCCTAAGGGCCTCTTCAGCCCAACAGCATCATCCCTAAAAACCTTGTCGTATGGTATTTGGGGTTGATGCTTCCCGAAAGGGCATGCCATCCTATAAGGTTTATTTATTTTTCTTGTCATGTATGTTAGGAAATCTAGGTGAACAGTAACAGAGTTTGGGCTTCACCTATATTTTTTGTGCTTTCCTACGTTTGAAACAGCTGTACGCGCAAAAGACCAACTAAGATAACGCGCTAATAGCACACTAGTGACCATGCTTGATAAATTTGCCGTTTTCATCTACCGTTTGTGATAACATCGTGACCATTTGTAATAGCACACTCTATGTTGTGACTATTTTATAATAGCCCTAGAAACAATGCGGAATTTTGCAAGCGCAACGAATGAAGCTTCAACGAATTACGCAGCGGACACGTCACCCGTCCAGACCTGGCAGGTCCACAAACAGGCGAAAGTCCAGCTTTTGCGCTTGCGTATCAGATTTACAATCTGCCCTACGTCCTTGCTTGATGGTGGCAGCTGCACAAGCCCAGGGGGTGTTCCGAATTAATGTTCACTACAACATGTCCGAAGCCGAGGGGTCATTCCTCGACACCTCAAAGGATGTCGAAATGCTTCAATCGTTGGATGGAGCAAGCCGACCGTCCAGATTCGTCTTCATACCCCCACTCTTTGACATTCCACTTAGAAAGTTAGGACGGCTCAAAACTTGGAAGGAGAACACCTGACGAGTATTTCTGTATGCGTCCTCAAGAGCCCTGCTGGCTAGCTGTCAAGCCTCGGGGTGGGTGTGTGTCAATTTCTGCTGACGCCTGTGGTGGACTGTAGTGCGCCAGATCAAGGGTGTTTGCCCTTTGGATCCGCACCCAGTCGCGCCGCAAAAGAGAGCTTCCCCGCAGAGTTCTTCTGTATCGTTCCCCCAGTTCTCCCCAATCACCCAGCGGCCAGCTTGCTTTTTTCCCCCACCGTTTCCCCGAACCAAACCAGCACCCAACCTGATCCCGTGCCGCTGCCATACCACCACCGCGCAACCTTCAACGCGAGAAGCGACCACAGTGCCCTCCTCCATCCATCCCAACCAAGCAAGCAATTCGCTCTTCCTCGGTCACCACCGCAATTCCTTCCTCCCCCTTTCTCCATTCCGCCAACTCCCCACGACCCGGCCAGGCGCAGCCGCCGCAGCCCAGCATTGAATCGCGAGGAACGCGAGCAGCAATTGACGACCGAGTAACCGGGATTTCGTTTAGTCGCCCTTCCCTTCCATTCCCTTCCCACCGACTTAACGTGGTAGAAGGATCGATTGCCTCAGGTTCGTTGTCGGACGCGATTGCAATAAGTTACGTAGTGTTTGTGTGCTTTTTGTATGCGAAATGCGGGGTTACAGTGCGGTGGCGGATCGATATTTTCCCCGATCGGGCACTTTTACCGCGTCCTTCCACCGAGCAGCAGCACCACCAACACGTCCAGTTCAGAGGAAAAGGAGGAGGCGAGCAAGGGATGGAGAAGACGCAAGCAAGCCGTGTTTCTGTTTCTTGGTTTGCCACAGGAAGCAACGGCAGTCAGCAATATTCCAGTTTCACCATCACAGCACAGCACGAGGTTTGGCTTGCCAAGAACTTTCGCGGTTTGCGAAGAGACGAGTATTTACCTCGCAGAAGTCTCAGTAGCCGACAGGCTCACCAACCTCGCGTGCATTCCGAGATTACACCGTCCCCTGCCTCATACCACATACGGACCAAAGCGCCACCTGAAGCTAGAGCTTGAAAATGGCCTCTCGGCGAAGACACTCTGGCTCGCCCAGTCTCCTCCCTGGGCCTCCATTCCCGCTCGACCATTCCCAACGAGGATCCCTTGTATCGCACCGCGCACACTGTCTCTCACACGGCCGTTCTCGCTGCCGCTCACACGGCAGCCTTGTACAGACCCGCCGGGAAACGCGAACCCCCTTTGCCCTCCTCGTGTTCCTCGTCTCGCTACCCGCAGCGCCGCTGCTCCGCCCGACCCACGGTACGAGCTGCCGCGCACAGCCGCTCGCCTGTTCCGCGCTCGTAAATTAGAGTTTGCTGCCATTCCGCTGGACGATTTATGCCCGTAATGCGGAAGTTGCTGATATCGAATAGGTACTTGCAGCGAGTACTCATTCAAGCGCATTCGTTTCATTGCAAGCTAGGCTCGCGAAGGGAATCGGCAAATTGGCGTGTTGAAATGCCGCACCGCTCCAAAACATTCTCTCACCCTTTTCCCCCTTCCCCCCGCAGCTTCCCCCCCCGATGTCTCCGCGCTCTACATCGTCCGCCTCCGCTCCGCGCCACCCGTCGCCTCGTACCGCGGCGGATTTCCCGGCTACCCGGCAACGGCCGTCTGGGACAGCGACCCTAACGGCAACGCGACAGACGCGACAGCAGACGACGCCGCCGCCGGTTCCAGTGCCGTTGGTACCGCTTCTGTTTCCTCCTCCTCCTCCACCGCTGGTGCGGCTACTACCAACGGTTTAGGATGGCTTGGCCGTCGACCGCGGCGGCCGCGGGTGAACGTGAGGGCGCCGGGCGTGAGGGCGTTCAAGCAGCTGCTGCAGCGCATGCAGCAGGCCGTGCTGAGAGACAGCGGGGTGGCCGCGGGGAAGATGGTTTACAGGTGAGGGGAAGATGGTGTATAGGTGAGGGGAAGATGGTGTATAGGTGAGAGGGGAGGAGAGGAATTTTATTACTGACGAACCATTTGCTCCCCTTCCGTTCCTCTGCTTTTATGTCCCGCCTCCATTTCATCCGCCCTCCCACCCACCCCATCCCCTTCCCCGATCCCCATCCCACTTTCTCCGCCCTTCCCCTCTCCGCCGCGCCAGCTACATGCACGCGTCGAACGCCTTCTCCGCGACCCTCACGCCCCTCGTTTCCCCCGCTCCCCCCCTTCCCTCCCCTGCGCTCGTTTCCCCTTGCCCTCCCCCCGCAGCTACAAGCACGCGTCGAACGGCTTCTCAGCAACCCTCACGCCAGCGCAGGTGCAGCGCATGAGGCGCCACCCATCTGTGGCGTCCGTGACGCAGGCACGCGTGCTGCGCCCCGCCACCACCGACTCGTACAAGTTCCTCGGCCTGCCCGGGTCGCTCTGGGCCGACGCGGGCGGGCCCAGCAGCGCAGGCGAGGGCACTGTAATCGGCATCGTGGATACCGGCATATGGCCCGAACACGCTTCGTTCGATGACACGGTATGTTACTATGCCTCGCCTTGCCACCAGTAGGGTCAGCATGTTTTTAGCAATGGTGATGGCATAGGGGATAAGGGCGTGTGGCTGGAACACTTCTCATTCGGGGTGCGTTTTGAGTCGACTAGAAAAGCGGCATAGGGGATGAGGGCGTGTGGCTGGGCTGGAACACATCTCGTTCGGCGACACGGTCGGTACGTCACGCCGTGCCGCAGCCACTCGCGCTTCTCCTTCTCTTTCGCTGCCTCGCTGTCCCCTTCTCATTCGCCTGCTCACCTCGTAAATACCCAAGCTACTAAAACCACTGCTGTTCTCATCCCACTAACCTCCACCACCCCACTGCCCTTCCACCCCTCCTCCCCCCCACCAGGGCTACAGCAGCACGCTCCCTGCTGGATGGTCAGGCACGTGTCCCACGACAAGCGACTTCGCATGCAACAACAAGATCATCGGAGGGGGCATCTTCCACGCGGGGTTTGAGAGCGGCGGCACCACCATCGACCTCTCGGGTGACTGGAAGTCGCCGCGCGATGCTGCCGGCCACGGCACGTGGTGTGCGGGGTGAGTGTGTGGGGAGTGCGTGGTGGGCGAAGTGAGTGTGTGCGGGGTGCGTGCGTGGTGGGAGGGGTGAGCGTGTTGGGGCATGTGGTGTGTGGGGTGAGCTCGTGTGGTCTATCGTGCATGGGGCATGGTGAGCATTTGCAGGTGGCACGAGGTATGCATTTGGAATTCAAACAACTGGGGGAAACTGTGTACTATGTAGCCTAGAAGCATTCCCTGCTCATTCTCCACGTGCATGTTCTGTTCCACAACGCCTGCTCTCTCTCTCCCCCCACCCTCTCCCTCTCCAGGGCGGCAGCAGGCAACAACAACGTGCCAATCCCCAACATCGGCACGGCCAGCGGCATGGCGCCAGGGGCGCGCCTGGCCATCTACAAGGTCTTCTGGCAGACCAACGGATATATGTACGCCACCAGCCCAGACATCTTCTCAGCCGTTGATCAGGCTGTCGCCGACGGTGTGGATGTGCTGAGCCTGTCGCTGGGCGGAGCCAGTTCCACCGACACCTACTTTGACGACGTGCCCTTCATCAGCGTCCATGCCGTGAGTGCCCTTCATCAGCGTCCATGCCGTGAGTGCCCTTCATCAGCGTCCATGCCGTGAGTGCCCTTCATGAGCGTCCATGCCGTGAGTGCTTGTTCAGTATGAGCCTTACCAGTATCTCCTCATGGCAACGCGGTGAGTGCTCGCGCAATATGAGTCGTACCTGTATCTCCTTATGGGCAACGCCATGAGTGGCAATGCCGTGAGTGCTCCTACCTCTATCTCTGTACCTTTATCTCATTATTCTAGTGCTCACGGGTTCACTCACGTGGAGGGCCATGCTTTCAGTCACGTGGAGGGCCATGCTTTTGGCCTCAGCCTCTCCTCTCTCCACTCCTCTGCTTTCTCATCGTCGCACCTCTCCCTGCGTCCCTTCTCCCGCCCTTTCTTTCCTTTCCCTCTCCCCCCATCAGGCGGGGGTGTTTGTGGCCTTTGCAGCGGGCAATGAGGGCCGCCCATCAGCATCCGCAGCCACGGGCTATCGCACGCTCTGCAACTTCTCTCCCTACTACATGACTGTGGGCGCCAGGTGAGGAGGAGGGGGGAGGAAGGAGGTGAGGGATGGGCATAGTCAGTGAGGAGAGGAAGGAGGTGAGGGATGGGCATAGTCAGTGAGGAGAGGAAGGAGGAAGTCATGACTCACGAGGTTGCACCCTGCCACAAGACCACGACACCCTGCCACAAGACCACGACACCAGGGCCCAGGTAAGAAGAAAGGGGAAAGAAGAGGCATGACTGTGCGTGCATTCTCTCCACTTCACACCCTCGCCTCGCACTTGTTCATCCCTCCCCTCACATCGCCCCTCTCCTCTCGTCTCATCCCTCTTCTGCTCTTCCCCTCTCCTGCTCTGTCCCTCTCCTGCACTTCCCATCCGTCCTACTCTTTTCATTTTCTCCCTACATCTTCCCCTGTGCCCATTCCGCACCACTCTGCCTCACCCTCTACCTCCACATCTCTTGCAATGGAGCGTCCCTGTCCTGCTCTTTTCAATCCCCCATCACATCTTCCCCTGTGCCCCTAACCCTCCTCCCCACCCCCCCAACCACCACCACCCACCACCACTGCCACACCCTGCAGCACCATCAGCCGCAACGGAGCATCCATCTCCTCCACAAAGGCATTAACATCAACAACAGCATCCCTTGAGCCTCCATCCAACACCACAGCCCCCACAGCCCTCGCAGCAGCCAGCACGGTGTCAACCCTCAACGGGGTGCGCATCCCAGCCAGCATGTCCCCAGCAGCCACCGCCGCCCCGGTAGTCGCCTACTTCTCCTCCACCGGTCCGCTCGCCAAGCCCTCAGCCGCCACACCAGCAGCCTACCCCTCCAACACCATCCTCAAACCCGACATCATCGCCCCGGGGGTCCAGCTCTACGCCGCCTTTCCCGGCAGGACTGTGGGCTCTAAGGGAGGGTTTGAAGCGCTGTCAGGGACGTCAATGGCCACACCGCACATCGCTGGCATTGCTGCTCTCATCATCCAGCAGCATCCTGATTGGACGCCCTCGCAGATCATGTCGGCAATGATGACTACAGCAAGGACTACTAATACCGGTAACGGGGCGATTAAAAACGAGTATGGGGCTGCTGCATCGCCATGGGAGATTGGAGCGGGGCATGTGGTGCCAGCTATGGTGGTTAACCCTGGGTTAACCTATGATGCCGGGGAGCAGGACTTCAAGAACTTTCTCGCTGGGCAGAACTATAACCGGGCAAAGGGTGAATTTGGCACGGCTTCCCTCAGAGCTCTCTCCGCGAAGAATCTGAATCGGCCAGCTATCTCGCTGCCCAAAGTGCACAACAAGGCTTCGGTTACACGGACTGTAACAAATGTTGCGGATACCACGTCAACGTACACAGTGAGGATCAAGAAACCTGCTGGAGTGAAGGTGAAAGTGTCGCCATCAAGCTTCACTATTGCACCCGGGCAACGAAAGACGTACAAGGTGACGGTGGTGGTGAAGTGGGCTTCACAGTCCTTCAAGTTCGGCAGCCTCACGTGGGTGGACAACAAAGGGCACTCCGTGCGGTCCGTGCTGGCCGTGCAGCCGAGTAGTGCTTGCTGGTTTGGCTGCTAAGGGAGTGATCCTACGCCTCTTATCAGCCACCCCTCTTATCAGACTTGTGTGGTTGACTGCGTTTCTGCGCTGCTGAATGTGATTACAGTTACCGTGTTTTACTGAAGTGATTAGAGTCTGTTGAGAGGTTTTCCACCAGTTCGGCACAGTTCAGAGTAGTGAGAAACAGGGTGTACATCCAAGGGCACACCCCCACACTTACAGTTGAGAATAGCTGGTCGAGACTGTTACGGTAGTACAGTAGGCTTGCAGCGGTTCAGAACCAGCCATTGTATTTTGGACACAACATGGATCACATGCGAATGCTAAGCGACATGGATCACATGCGAATGCTAAGCGACATGGATCACATGCGAATGCTAAGCGACATGGATCACATGCGAATGCTAAGCGACATGGATCACATGCGAATGCTAAGCGACATGGATCACATGCGAATGCTAAGCGACATGGATCACATGCGAATGCTAAGCGACATGGATCACATGCGAATGCTAAGCGACATGGATCACACGCGAATGCTAAGCGACATGGATCACATGCGAATGCTAAGCGACATGGATCACATGCGAATGCTAAGCGACATGGATCACATGCGAATGCTAAGCGACATGGATCACATGCGAATGCTAAGCGACATGGATCACACACGAATGCTAAGCGACATGGATCACATGCGAATGCTAAGCGACATGGATCACATGCGAATGCTAAGCGGCATGGATCACATGCGAATGCTAAGCGACATGGATCACATGCATGCACTCCACTCTTCAACAGACGAATGCTATTAGCAGGCTATGAAGTTGGCGCCGTTTAACACTATGAACTTTGCTTCTACCGTAAATTTCTTTCACAAACAAATGCAGCAGGCTGGAAAGGAAATGCTTTTCGTCAAGAACGAGCTCACATCATTCCTCCTATCCTGCTGGTACCGTATGTCCCACAGTCAGCAGCGAAACTGAGCAGCTGTGTCTGCAGTGCGGTGCACCTGCCTGCCTGCCATGCAGCTTGAGGTTCTGCTGCTACTGGCAGCAGCATGAGCCAAGGGAGTCTCAGCAGCACCCAGAGACACTCTAGAGCCATTGGAACTCTCTACCTTGAAAATTTTAGGCTCCCAACCAACCAAGTGAACCCCTCCATTCCATCCACCATCGGCACCACACCTCCTTGTGTTGTGCCACATGCCCACCAGCTTGAACCCTTGCTTTACGAGCAGCACGGGCAGAGACAGCTCCAGCGCCAGAGGAGAGGACAGTTGGAGCCATTGAAACTTGTTTCAAATCTTAGAAGTCTACTTAGCCCCTTGACTCTGCCGCGTAAAGATCTGCCGGCCCCCCAGCTTGAGCCCCTCATCCACCAGCTTGAGCCCCTCATCCACCAGAGGACAGCACGGGTAGTGAGAACAGCAGCACCACCAGCGGAGAGGACACTTGGGAGCCACTGAGACTTGATTTGACCCTTGAGGGCCTTTCTAGCCTCTCCTCTCTGCCGTGCAAAGATCTGTCGGCCCCCCAGCTTGAGCCCCTCATCCACCACCAGCACCAGCAACACGGGCAGTGAGAGCAGCAGCACCAGCGCCCAGAGGAAAGAGAGGTCAACCGCAGCCATTGCAACTCTATCTGACCCCTCCCCTCTGCCGTGCAAAGATTTGTCTGCCCACCAGCTTGAGGCCCTCGTCCACGAGCAGCACGGGCAGCGAGAACACCACCACCAGCGCCCACTCCTGCCACGTCAGCGGCACCACCTCAAACACGCCCGCCAGCGGCGAGTACAGCAGCGCCACGTGGAGCCCCATGGACGCACCAACGGCCAGGATGAGCCACTTGTTGATCCACGGTGGAGATTGCAGCAAACTGCGGTACTCGGAGACGGAGCTGAGGGCGAGCAGCATCTCGATAGTGACAAGCGTGGTGAGCGCGAGGGTAGATGGCTTGGTGGTGCCGTGAGTGAAGTAGTCGCATGGGGTTGGGAAGGAGACGACGCCGCCGCCTGCTACTGTGTAGGAGAGATGCGGGTTGAAGGGAGATTCTGGTGCTGGGGCAGGTGCGGGTGAGCCTACTCCTGCTCCTACTGCTGCTGCTGCGGTTGCTGGTGGGTCTACAAGAGGAGGGGCGGTGAGAGTAGCAGCAGGCACGGACCAGACAGAGCAGGTTCGGGAGTGGGACAGCTGCTCCCACGTCACAGCCGAATGCCCATCCTTGTCCAACCCAAACGGTGCAAACCACCCTCCATTTCCGCCCCCCATCCCCGTCCCCACCACACTCTCCTCCACCGTCCCCAACCCCATCTCCACCCCTCCACCACCCCCTCCCACCACCTCCCCATTCAAAAACCACACAGAAAACACCCCAACGGTCGCAGCACCGATATACGCCCCCAGCACCCCAAACCGCACCAGCACCCACGGCGACACGAGCCCCTGGTCCCTCTCCCTGGGCGGCCGTGCCATCACATCAGCCTCCGGCGGCGTAAACCCCAACGCCACCGCCGGAGCTCCGTCCCCCACGAGGTTGACCCAGAGGAGTTGCACGGGGAGGAGGAAGGAGGAGGAGGGCAGGCCGAGCAGGGACGCGGCGAAGATGGCGACGACCTCGCCGATGTTGGAGGAGATGAGGTAGCGGATGAACGCGCGCATGTTGTCGAATATGGCGCGCCCCTCCCGCACTGCCTCCACTATGGTGGCGAAGTTGTCGTCTGCTAGGACCATGTCCGCTGCCTCCTTGGCCACCTGGTGTGATATGGGATTCGACGATGGGGGATGGGCGGGTATGCAGTATGGGGTATGGGGGATGGGGGATCGGGGAAGGGGAATGGGGGATGGGGATGGGGGGTATGGGTATGGGGGATGAAGATGGGGATGAAGATGGGGATGGGGATGGGGATGGGGATGGGGATGGGGATGGGGATGGGGATGGGGATGGGGATAGGGATGGGGATGGGGATGGGGATGGGGATGGGGATAGGGATGGGGATGGGGATAGGGATGGGGATGGGGATAGGGATGGGGCATCATTCTGAGAGATCTCAATCAGCACCCACCTCTATGCCATCTGCACCCCTCTCCACCCACCTCTCTGCCTCGCCACCCCTCACCTCTGTGCCAGTAGCACCCGTGGCAATGTCAACGGGAGTTGTGTGTTGGCCCCGTCCTCGCTTGGGCGGAGCCGACTACGTGGTCGGGTGTGAGGGGAGCAGCCGACCTGCAGCACTGGGCGAGCTGGTTGATGAGGAGGTCGACCTGCACGGGGACCACTGTACGAGCGCCGAATTCAGGGTGGCGCCGACTTCAGGGAAGTCGACCTAGGAAGTCGACCTACGGAGGGCTTCGACTTTGGGACGCCGACTCGGGGCAGCCGACTTGGGTGGTCGGCTGACAGGCCTGCTGGTCGACGTGGTGGTTGGTCGACCAGGCGTGATGTCGACCAAGTGGTCGACCTGACCTGGTAGTCGACGGCGGAGGGGCCGACGTTGACCTCGACTCAGGACGCCGAGCAGCGGGGCGTCGAGTAGCAGGACGTCAATTTGGTGATGCCGACTTCGGGTAGCCGACTTGGGTGGTTGGCTGACAACTGCGCTGGTCTACATGGAGCTGGTCGACCAAGAGTGCTGGTCGACGTGAAGCTGGTCGACCAGGAGTGACGCCGACCTGGAGCTGGTCGACCAGGGGCGTGGTCGACCTGGTGAGGTCGACTTGGGGTGGTCGTCGACTTGGGAGGTCGACGGGCACATACAGGAGCAGCTGGTCGACGTGGTTGCTAGGTCGACCAGGTTACCTGGGTGACGAGGTTCTGCGGAGGAGTGCGACGGTCGCCCAGGCGAAGTTGGCGAGGCTGACCTCGGTGGTGGTATCCCGAGGTCGACGTGGCGGATCAGGTGGAGTCGTCAGCACGAGGATGACTTGGTGTGTGCGTTGTGCAGGTGACGAGGCTCAGCCTGCCAATCATCTGCGAGCACCTGCGAAGTAGGTGCGCTGCTGTTCTGCGGGATCAACGCTGGCACGCCGTCGACTTTGCACTGCTGGAGCGCGGTCGACCAAGTCGTTCTGGAACGCGGTCGACCGAGCTGCGCTGGCAGTCGACCGACCTGAATGCTAGCTCTGATGTAGTGCCATGCAAACTTTGTTGTACCATTGTTGTCAACTTTCACTAGTGAAACTCTTGCCAAATTACCCCGTGAACTAGCAAGCAGTGTGTGCACTAGGAAAACGACTAAGGACGCAATAATCACACGAGCACCCGTGCCTAGCCCGTAGTCTAGATCCCGTTGTAATAGTTATCTCCGCAGGCAATCTCAACGTCAGCCAGTTTGAGGGTGAAAGCGCGACTCACCCATTGCCCATCACCGTCACCACCCGTTGCCCATGGCAACCCTCTGCACCCATCTGTCACTGGTTGGAACCATTACAAAAGCGCTCGCATGCTCTAATGGACCCCGCCCTTTTCACTAACTGAAATGATCAACACCTAAGCCCTATTTCAATAGTCACCCCACCCCACCCCTCCCCACCCACCTCTGTCCCTGTAGCCCCCATGGCGATGCCAATGTCAGCCAGCTTGAGCGCGGGAGCATCGTTCACGCCATCGCCCGTCATGGCCACCACCTCGCCCTGCGCCCGCAGCGCCCTCACGATCGCCTGCTTGTGTGCCGGCTCCGCCCGCCAGAACACCAGATTACCACCCCTCGCCCCTCCACTACTTCTATCCGCGCCTCTCTCCCCCCCTGCACGTGCACCTTGTGTCCCCTCTGGCCGCCCTCCCAGGATCCTCAGCTGCTCCTCTTCCGGCAGCCGAACAAACTCCGCTGCCGCGTACGAATGCCGGGCCGGATCCGTTACGCTATGCATGTCACCGTGTCTCTCCCCACCACCACCACCACCACCCCCAAACAGACCAATCTGCCGTGCAACAGCATCAGCAGTGGCCCCCGAGTCACCAGTGATCACAATCACGCGCATGCCCGCACTCGTGCACGCCGCTATGGCCCCCGGCACCTCAGGCCTGGGCGGGTCTCGAATCCCCACCAGCCCCACGAACGTGAGCTCGCTCTCTAGCTCCTCGTACCGACTCCCATCCTCCACCCACCGCCGCACCTCCTCACTCCACCCCTCCCCACTCCCCTGCACCTCATCCCCCAACTCCCCTCCCCTCCCCTGCGCTTCTTCCCTGGTCCCGTCACCCACTGCCCTGCTTCCCTCGCCCCCATCCCGCCCGGTCTTCAAGCCCAAGCCTGCAAGAGCAGGGGGGAGGTTGTCGCGAAAGGCGAGCGACTTTTGAGGCGCCTCCAAGCCTGCAAGGGCAGGGGGGAGGTTGTGTCGGAAGGCGAAGGCCAGCACGCGCAGGCCCTGAGAGGCCATGGCTGCAATGCTGTGGGTCAGGCGGGTGCGCGCGGAGGGGGAGAGGGGGACGATGGTGCCCGAGGGGAGTTGCAGCGAGGAGCAGCGGTTGAGCACGCACTCTGCTGCTCCCTTCACCAGCAACATGTTTCCTGCTCCGCACAACCCCTCCTCTCCCTTCCCCCCTCCTCTTCCCTCCAACATGTTTTCCTCCATTACAGCCACGCCCTCCCGCACTACCGCACCCATCCCCACTCCTCCTGGCTCTCCTACTGCCGCACACGCCCCAACTGCCTCGCGCTGCTGCTGCAAGGGCAAGCCGTGCCCCCCCAGGGGCGTGACAATCACGCTCATGGACTTGCGAAGGCGGTCGAACTCCAGAGTGCACACGCGCGCCCACCGCTGCTCCCAGTACGCGCTTGCGAGGCTTAGAGAGCCCTCCTCCCCAGTTGTCACCCCACCGGCCCTGCGAGATGCCTCTATCCGTGCCTGCTGCTCTGCGCTCGGCACGCCCAGCTTCTCCGCCAGCACCTGGGTGGAGGGGATGTGCGCACACACAGACAGAGGGAGAGGCAGACTGATGAACTTGCGGAGGCGGTCGAACTCCAGAGTGCACACGCGCGCCCACCGCTGCTCCCAGTACGCGCTCGCCATGCTGAGGGAGCTCTCCTCCTCCCCAGTCGCCGCCCCGCGGCCCGCCCACCCTGCGCGGCGCCTCTATCCGCGCCTGCTGCTCATCGCTCGGCACGCCCAGCTTCTCCGCCAGCACCTGCATGCAAGCGGCAATGCAAGGACAAATATGAAACTGCTTCTCTCTCAAATCGCGCCTGCTCTCCTGTGCTCCGAACGCCCAGATTCTCTGGCAGCAGCTGCATGTGGGGAATTGGGGACAAGCAGCAGTTACTGTATATTTTCTTTCTTTCCTTCCTTCCAATCGCACCTCACTGACACTCACTGTGACTGACTCCACCTGTGACCCCTCACCTCAAGCGTGGCCTCAGAGGGCATGTCAGAACACCTCCCTTAAAAGTCTCACCTCACCTCACCTCACCTCACCTCACTTCACTCCACCACCTCACTCACTTCCTTTTCACCGCACTGTCACACTCAGTGGGTGGGCATGCCAGAGTAGCGGAACTGTATCGATCTAACATTCATCCCCATCCCACTCCGCCTTACCACACCGTCCCTCACCTCCTCGCGCACCCACCTTGAGTGCCCCCTCACCTTGAGAGCGGCCTCAGTGGGCATGCCAGAGCAGCCGTACCGCCCCTTGGTGGCCGCGATGCTGCTGTCGTTGCACAGTGCACTGATGGCCGCCACACTCCACACTCCCGCCTCCGCACTGCCACCCCTCTCACTCGCAACCCCCTCACTTACACCCCCCTCACTTACACCCCCCTCACTTACACCCCCCTCACTTACACCCCCCTCACTTACACCCCCCTCACTTACACCCCCCTCTTTCAAAATAGATTCACCTCCTCCCCCTCCCCCTCCTCCTCCTCCTTCCCCTCCTCCCTCTCCTGCCCTTCGCCCTCCCCCTCTCCACCCCACCACCTCCCCATCCCCCGGGTCATACGTGGTCCCCGACACATCATACCACCGCACGTCCCCGTCAGCGCCACGTGGCACCGCCAGGCTGGCAACGGCCATCTGATTAGTCGTGAGCGTGCCGGTCTTATCGGAGCAGATCACGGTGGTGCACCCGAGCGTCTCAACGGATGGCAAGCGTCGGACTATAGCGTGCGCGTCTGCCATGCGCCGTGTGCCGAGCGCCAGGCATGTGGTGATCACTGCTGGCAGCCCCTCGGGGATCGCTGCTACTGCTAACGCCACTGCTTCCTGTTAGGTCGGGGTTGAAGGTTTGGAAGAAGGGTCGGGATTAACAAAAGCATAGGGCATCACACAACAGCAAGAGTCGCGAGTGCCCTCTGCCATGCGCCGTGTGCCGAGCGCCAGGCACGTGGTGATGACTGCTGGTAGCCCCTCGGGGATTGCTGCCACTGCCAACGCCACTGCTTCCTGTTAGGTGGGGCGTACAGGACCGTTAAGGGTCCAGGCTTCAGGTAAGGGATAATGGTTATGGTTGCTACAGCCAGGGCGCCAGCTGTTGGCGTAAGGATGGGATGGGATGGGATGGGATGGCGAGGGTGGGGGGGGAGGATGCAACCACAGCACGACCTAACACCCGATGGGAAACACAGGACGATGGTGTTGGCCTCTGCCATGCGCCAAGTGCCCAATGCCAGACAGGCACGTGGTCATGCCAGACAGGCACGTGGTCATGCCAGACAGGCACGTGGTCATGCCAGACAGGCCCGTGGTCATGCCAGACAGGCACGCGGTCATGCCAGACAGGCACGAGGTCATGCCAGACAGGCACGCGGTCATGCCAGACAGGCACGAGGTCATACCAGACAGGCACGCGGTCATGCCAGACAGGCACGTGGTCATGCCAGACAGGCACGTGGTCATGCCAGACAGGCACGCGGTCATGCCAGACAGGCACGAGGTCATGCCAGACAGGCACGCGGTCATGCCAGACAGGCACGAGGTCATGCCAGACAGGCACGCGGTCATGCCAGACAGGCACGTGGTCATGCCAGACAGGCACGTGGTCATGCCAGACAGGCACGTGGTCATGCCAGACAGGCACGTGGTCATGCCAGACAGGCACGTGGTCATGCCAGACAGGCACGTGGTCATGCCAGACAGGCACGTGGTCATGCCAGACAGGCACGTGGTCATGCCAGACAGGCACGTGGTCATGCCAGACAGGCACGTGGTCATGACCGCTGGCAGGCCCTCGCCTCGAGACTCACGGCTACAAGCAGAAGCACTGCCACCTGTTGTGAGGCCATGATTTGGAAGAATCAAGGCCGTTGGGTCCACGGATGTTACAACCACGGCTGACCTTGAAGTAGAACGTGGCCTGCTGAGCGTTGAACACGAGAGTCCGCCCCACGGCGTCCCACGCCACAAACCGGTCGAAATTCACCGCCCACAGCACCACGCACATGGCGCCCACGGCCTGGGTGAGCGCGGTTGAGAACTCATCCAGGCGGCGCGACAGCGGCGTGTCGTACGGCGCCTCCTCCGCTGCGGCCGCTGTGATCTGCGCCTGGATGCGCCCCACCTCTGTCGCCATCCCCGTCGCCACCACCACCCCGATGAATGACCCGGTTGCTGCTGTCGTTCCTGCAAACGCCATGTTGGCTTTTGCCTGGATCTCCAGGCCGTCACTGCTGCTGATGCTGCCGTCCCTGTCGTCGCTGCTGCTGCTGCTGTCCCAATCTGCCTGCTGTGCTGCTCCCTCCTCCACGCTGCTCCCACTAACAGCAAACGCCGCGTTGGCCTTTGACTGGACTGCCAGATCGTCGCTGCTGCTGCTGCTGCTGCTGCTGCTGCTGCTGCTGCTGCTGCTGCTGCTGCTGCTGCTGCTGCTGCTGCTGCTGCTGCTGCTGCTGCTGCTGCTGCTGCTGCTGCTGCTGCTGCTGCTGCTGCTGCTGCTGCTGCTGCTGCTGCTGCTGCTGCTGCTGCTGCTGCTGATGCTGCTGCTGCTGCTGCTGCTGCTGCTGATGCTGCTGCTGCTGCTGCTGCTGCTGCTGCTGCTGCTGCTGCTGCTGCTGCTGTCGTCCCACCGACTTTCCTCCACCCCTCCTCGCCTCCGCGCCACCTGTTCTGTCTGCTTCACCTGGGGCTCGCTCTCCCCCGTGAGCGTGGACTCATTGAGCCGCACACAACCGCTCACCACCGCAACAATGCGCATGTCTGCTGCCACGCGGTCCCCTGCGCGCACCTCCACCACGTCCCCCGGCACCAGCTCCCGCGCTGGCACCGTCACAAACGGTGCTGGCACTGTTATGACTGGCGCTGTTGCTGTTGCCGCTGCTGCTGGGGCTGATGGGGTTACCACCTGTGCCGCTGGTGGGGTTACGAGCTGGCTGGCTGGACTGTCATCGCGTGTCTCTCTCGCACTTCCCTCATCCGCCACACGAGCTCCGCCCATGCCCACCCCGGGCGCAGCAGCCCGCCTCACACGCGCCGTCTGCGGCTGCAGCTCCTTGAGTGCCTGGGGGGGGCATGGGAGACGGATTGGGAGCAGATGTGGGGAGGATAGGAAAATGAATGGAAGGCGGATGGGGGCAGATTGAGGAAGATGGGGGCCGGATGGAGCATTCCCTCACCTGCAGCCACTGCCCTCACCTGCAGCCACTGCCCTCACCTGCAGCCACTGCCCTCACCTGCAGCCACTGCCCTCACCTGCAGCCACTGCCCTCACCTGCAGCCACTGCCCTCACCTGCAGCCACTGCCCTCACCTGCAGCCACTGCCCTCACCTGCAGCCCTGCAGCCACTGCCCTCACCTGCAGCCACTGCCCTCACCTGCAGCCACTGCCCTCACCTGCAGCCACTGCCCTCACCTGCAGCCACTGCCCTCACCTGCAGCCACTGCCCTCACCTGCAGCCACTGCCCTCACCTGCAGCCACTGCCCTCACCTGCAGCCACTGCCCTCACCTGCAGCCACTGCCCTCACCTGCAGCCACTGCCCTCACCTGCAGCCACTGCCCTCACCTGCAGCCACTGCCCTCACCTGCAGCCACTGCCCTCACCTGCAGCCACTGCCCTCACCTGCAGCCACTGCCCTCACCTGCAGCCACTGCCCTCACCTGCAGCCACTGCCCTCACCTGCAGCCACTGCCCTCACCTGCAGCCACTGCCCTCACCTGCAGCCACTGCCCTCACCTGCAGCCACTGCCCTCACCTGCAGCCACTGCCCTCACCTGCAGCCACTGCCCTCACCTGCAGCCACTGCCCTCACCTGCAGCCACTGCCCTCACCTGCAGCCACTGCCCTCACCTGCAGCCACTGCCCTCACCTGCAGCCACTGCCCTCACCTGCAGCCACTGCCCTCACCTGCAGCCACTGCCCTCACCTGCAGCCACTGCCCTCACCTGCAGCCACTGCCCTCACCTGCAGCCACTGCCCTCACCTGCAGCCACTGCCCTCACCTGCAGCCACTGCCCTCACCTGCAGCCACTGCCCTCACCTGCAGCCACTGCCCTCACCTGCAGCCACTGCCCTCACCTGCAGCCACTGCCCTCACCTGCAGCCACTGCCCTCACCTGCAGCCACTGCCCTCACCTGCAGCCACTGCCCTCACCTGCAGCCACTGCCCTCACCTGCAGCCACTGCCCTCACCTGCAGCCACTGCCCTCACCTGCAGCCACTGCCCTCACCTGCAGCCACTGCCCTCACCTGCAGCCACTGCCCTCACCTGCAGCCACTGCCCTCACCTGCAGCCACTGCCCTCACCTGCAGCCACTGCCCTCACCTGCAGCCACTGCCCTCACCTGCAGCCACTGCCCTCACCTGCAGCCACTGCCCTCACCTGCAGCCACTGCCCTCACCTGCAGCCACTGCCCTCACCTGCAGCCACTGCCCTCACCTGCAGCCACTGCCCTCACCTGCAGCCACTGCCCTCACCTGCAGCCACTGCCCTCACCTGCAGCCACTGCCCTCACCTGCAGCCACTGCCCTCACCTGCAGCCACTGCCCTCACCTGCAGCCACTGCCCTCACCTGCAGCCACTGCCCTCACCTGCAGCCACTGCCCTCACCTGCAGCCACTGCCCTCACCTGCAGCCACTGCCCTCACCTGCAGCCACTGCCCTCACCTGCAGCCACTGCCCTCACCTGCAGCCACTGCCCTCACCTGCAGCCACTGCCCTCACCTGCAGCCACTGCCCTCACCTGCAGCCACTGCCCTCACCTGCAGCCACTGCCCTCACCTGCAGCCACTGCCCTCACCTGCAGCCACTGCCCTCACCTGCAGCCACTGCCCTCACCTGCAGCCACTGCCCTCACCTGCAGCCACTGCCCTCACCTGCAGCCACTGCCCTCACCTGCAGCCACTGCCCTCACCTGCAGCCACTGCCCTCACCTGCAGCCACTGCCCTCACCTGCAGCCACTGCCCTCACCTGCAGCCACTGCCCTCACCTGCAGCCACTGCCCTCACCTGCAGCCACTGCCCTCACCTGCAGCCACTGCCCTCACCTGCAGCCACTGCCCTCACCTGCAGCCACTGCCCTCACCTGCAGCCACTGCCCTCACCTGCAGCCACTGCCCTCACCTGCAGCCACTGCCCTCACCTGCAGCGACATATCACACCTGCAGCGACATATCTCACCTGCAGCGACTGCCATATCTCACCTGCAGCGACTGCTCCGCCTGCACCTGCTGCCACACGCCGATGAGCGCGTTCAGCACCACGATCGCCACGATCACCACCGGCTCCGTGTACCCCGCCAGCCCCCCGCCCCCCCCTCCGCCTTCCGCTCCTCCTCCCGCGCCCCCTACCCCGCCCTGCTCCGCCACGGCCAGCGCGAGCGACACCACAGCGGCGGCGACTAGGATTCTAACTAGTGTGTCGTTGAGCTGGTCTAACACTAGGTCCCAGAACGGCGTGCCTGCTGGTCGGTCTAGCTCGTTCCACCCGTGTGCTGCGCGCCGCCGCGCCACGTCGGATTCCGACAGGCCCGTGTCGAGGTTGACTGCGTAGTGCGCTGCCACGTGGCGCGGGGAGAAGTACCACGCGGGGAAGCTGGGCGGAGGAAGGGAGGTGGAGGAAGTGGGCGGGGAGATGGCGGAAGGGGGGGAGGGAGTGGCGGGGTCGTTTGTGGGATCCGGGGGAGGATCGAGGGTTGGTTCTTGTGGCGAGGAGGCTTGAAGCGGGGATGGATGCAAAGAATCTGCATCCTGGCCTGGTGGCGCCGTGCTAGTGCTACTACTTTCGCTACTGTCACTGCCCCTGGTGGTCTCGCCACTACATCCCTCGCTGTTCCTCTTTGTATCGCCGCTCGTCGCATCAGGCGTCGTCACGCGCTCACCACCGACCGACTCCTTTGCTCCGTCGCCGTGCGCCGCGGCTGCGACCGCGCGGCGACTGTTATGTTCGCGAGTCCCGCTGCGAATTCGCGAAGGAATGGTGAGAAGGGGCCAGCGGGGACGGAGACTGTGGCGGTGACCGTTGGATTGGCTCGACTTGGAGAGAGCGGATGGGCGCAACGACGGCTGGAAGGGGGACGCTGAGATGCCGCGGGGGGAGCGGCGAGAGCGACGCGGTGACGGATCGAGCGAGGGCTGTCGTTGAAGTGTGCGACCGTTAATCTGACCGTTATGGTGCTGACAGAGCGGCGTGCTGGGCGTGAATCGCGGTAGGCAGGGAGGTAGAGCGTGCGAGAGGAGAGAACACGACATTGTGTACGGCGCGGCGCGGGTGGAGCAGTCGAGGGCGCGCGAGTGACGGAGGAGGGGCTAGCATGAGGAGGTCGATGCTTCAAGATAGTAGTCACGAGGACGATCCGCGAATAGCTCGCGAACGACGCGCAACCGTTCACTAGTTGGTTGTTAGTTATGAGAACGCTTGAAGAGTGAATTCGGAATGGGAACGGTATGAGACATGCCTTGTAGCTGCTCCTGATTTGTAGAACTATGACACCTACCTTGGACACGAAGTTCATCAATTGGAGATGTGTCTGTCAGGTGTCTCGTTCGATGAGTCACGAGATAAATGACATGGATGCAGAATCAATCAGGTTCGAGTTTGTTGGCATTTCGATGCGGAAAGACGGACAAGATTGACTTACGTGTCGAAGCAATATTGATTTGACGGCTTAGATTGCTTTTGTCGGTGACTTTTGTCTAGTCGCGTGCCTGGCGGATCGGAAGGCGCAAACCCCACGAAAGCTCGATCCTCGTCAGCCTGCAGCGCGCCGCCACGTATAGCCCAATTCTGTAGGAGAAACACTGTCGATGTTCGTCGCTGGCACAATTCTATTGGAGTTTGCCTGACGGGTTCGTTTTCTTCACTTCTGATTCTGTACGCAGTTTAGATTGACAATCCACAAGTTCCCACTTCTAAGTGTCCCGAGCTGATACACGTTAGCCTCAATCGAAACCTGCTTCGCCTTGTACATACTCTCGTTTCGTCCTCTAACGAGTCCCACCTCCACTATCCAAGCTGAAGCTTCTGTCCTATCGCTGTAACAAACACGCCAAGCAATTGGTTTTACCATGAGTAGGCACTACCCTCGGGCTAATGATTATCGTCGGTCCGTGATTCTTGGACCGTTCGACGAACGTCTCCAAGTGTTTGGTGGTCCACAGATGCCTCGTGAGACTGAAATATATTAAAGTTTTCATCTCACTGTCAGTCGAGGCGGAGTTGGGGAATGCTACAGCGACATTGCAACGCTGCCTGCGCCGCCAGCAAGCCCCCATTTCCAGTAGAGCAATCCCATTTCTACACCTTTTTTGCACCTGTGCCGTCACTTAGTCACGAGGGCATGCACGAGCACCTGTATCGGGTATGGCTTCCGTAATAACCTCCCCGCACACCGCCACGCTTCCTCGCTGTCCGCGCGCCGCGTGCCAGCCGTCGCCTCCAGCCGCCATCCCTGCATTGCAGATTAGGCACCATCACCACCACCAGCAGCACCCCCAGCAGCAGCAGCAGCAGCAGCACCAGCAGCACCAGCAGCGCCGTTACAGTCAACAACTACAGTTCGCCTCCTTGCAGCCGCGACGGGCGGGGAATGCGCACGATTGGCACGCGCATGCCACGTATTGGGCACGTGGCTGGCACTCGCCCCGCCTCCTGAATCGGCCACTTCCATTCAGCGACCGTCGTTCGCGGCACGAGCAACAGACGGGTCTTTTCGCAACCGCACCGCCCTTCCCATCGCCGCACTCGCGCCAGCGTGGCATGCAGGACAGCCCACGTGTCGCCCATCCGCACCTACGTGGCGTGCAGGCGAGCTCTCATGGGTCGGACGCAGCGGGGCGCCTGCTGGCGGCGGGGGTCCGTGACTCGCGGCAGGGCGGCGCCTCAACGTGGGGCGGCTCGACATTGGGCGGCTCGGCTTTGGGCGGCTCGACGTGGGGCGGTCATGCGAGGGGCGGGACAACCGGGTCGCCTGGCAGGGACACGCGGTGCCAGCTGTTCTCGTCCCAAACGGGTAGGCGACGCTTCTGAGAAGCTTCGGAGTGGGTGCATGTGCAGCCCACAGGGGTGAGATTCCAGCGAGGGAAGAAAGAGGGGCAGGAGGGGAGGGAGGGAGGAAGCGGTGTGTGGCCCTTGAGATTACAGGTCGCCCCCGGTCCCCACCAGCCTCCTCTCTCAGTCATGAGCTTGCGCCTAAGACCTATAATAAACTTCCCCTATCAACTCACACCCTCTTCCCCCATTTCCCCCCCTCCTTTCCAATTTTCGCTTCCCACACCTTCCACTCTACTCCTTCCTTTCCTCCCTATTCCCCCTCCAATCCCCCCAATGCCGGTGGGTCTGTATCAGCCCTGCGCATCCCGCCCCTCACTATAGCCACGGAGGCAGGCAGCCATGGACCAGCGCCCTGCCTTCCCCCCCTCCACTACTCTACCCCCCTACTTCCCCTTTTACCCCCCCACTACCTGTGGTGATTCGGTTTGTGAGAATTCTTAACAACCAACTCCTCTCATCTCCTCTCCTCCCCCACTGCCCGTGGTCCTCAGCCCTGCGCATCCCGCCCCTCACTATAGTCACGGAGGCGGCAGCCATGGACGAGCGCGAGGTGGCGGCGTTGCTGGCAGCATCTGGGCAGAACGGACAACTCTTTCCCGCCCTGCTGCCGCCCGAGTCGCCGCCCGACGGCCGCCCGGTGCCTCGGAATGTGAACGTGGCTCGCGTGCCGGTGGACCAGAGGAGAGTCAGGCGGGCTGATGCTGCCAAGATGAGGAGAGCGCTGGATAAGAGGTGAGGGGGGAGATGGGGGGGGGTGAGGATGGGAGAAGGGGTGAGGAGGGAGATGGGGGGGTGAGGAGGGAGATGGGGGGGATGAGGAGGAGATGGGGGGGGTGAGGAGGGAGATGGGGGGGGTGAGGAGGGAGATGGGGGGGGTGAGGAGGGAGATGGGGGGGGTGAGGATGGCGCTAGAGTGGAGAGTGAGCGTGGATGGAGTGAGCGTGGATGGAGTGACTGTGGGTAGAGATGATGGGTGCCTGTGGGTAGAGATGATGGGTGCCTGTGGGTAGAGATGATGGGTGCCGATTCGATTCCATGGAGAAGCGAGATGAGAGAATGTGCTTCTTTCTTCTCATATCATGTCATGCCACACTGTGGACATTGCTGTCCACGTCATACCCCTGCTGTCCACGTCATACCCCTGCTGTCCACGTCATACCCCTGCTGTCCATGGGTGCAGCACAGTGACAGTGGGTCTGTACGTGAAGAAGGAAGATCTCTCAGAGGATTATTACACTGAGGAGGGCGAGGAGGTGGGGGAGGAGGAGGGAGAGGAGGTGGGGAAAGCGGAGGAGGGGGTGAGGAAGGAGAGGAAGGGCAGTGCAGAAGACGGCAGTGGTAGTGATGGTGGGAGTGATAGTGAGAGCAGCAGCAGCAGCAGCACAAGTGATTGGGACACGCCAAGCAAGGGGGGTAGCAATGGGGCGAGGGGGGCAAAGAGGAGGGGGATGAGCAAGTGGGCGCGGAGGAGGAAGGCGAAGGCGGTGGAGGAGGCTCGGCGCAGTGTGGAGGGCAAGAGGCTCGTGGCATTTGGGCGGGCGTACTCCGATGGCACGCTCACTGCTGCCGTGCATGACGTCGCGGTGCGTTTCATCTGCATGTTGCGTTTCATCTGCATGTTGAGTTTCATCTGCATGTTGTGTTTCATGTGCATGTTGCATTTCATCTGCATGTTGCGTTTCATGTGCATGTTGCGTTTCAAGTGCATGTTGAGTTTCATCTGCATGTTGAGTTTCATCTGCATGTTGCGTTTCATCTGCATGTTGCGTTTCATCTGCATGTTGCGTTTCATCTGCATGTTGCGTTTCATCTGCATGTTGCGTTTCATCTGCATGTTGCGTTTCATCTGCATGTTGAGTTTCATCTGCATGTTGTGTTTCATGTGCATGTTGCATTTCATCTGCATGTTGCGTTTCATGTGCATGCTGCGTTTCAAGTGCATGTTGAGTTTCATCTGCATGTTGAGTTTCATCTGCATGTTGCGTTTCATCTGCATGTTGCATTTCATCTGCATGTTGCGTTTCATGTGCATGCTGCGTTTCAAGTGCATGTTGAGTTTCATCTGCATGTTGAGTTTCATCTGCATGTTGCGTTTCATCTGCATGTTGCATTTCATCTGCATGTTGCGTTTCATGTGCATGCTGCGTTTCAAGTGCATGTTGAGTTTCATCTGCATGTTGAGTTTCATCTGCATGTTGCGTTTCATCTGCATGTTGCGTTTCATCTGCATGTTGCGTTTCATCTGCATGTTGCGTTTCATCTGCATGTTGCGTTTCATCTGCATGTTGAGTTTCATCTGCATGTTGCGTTTCATCTGCATGTTGCGTTTCATCTGCATGTTGCGTTTCATCTGCATGTTGCGTTTCATCTGCATGTGGAGTTTCATCTGCATGTTGCGTACACACAGCATAGGCGAAGCGAATATGTGCTCCTCTTCATGAACAGCATACCATTATCTGATGCCATGGGACGCCCATGGGATGCCATGGAATGCCATAGCATGCTATCACATGTTTAGCAGCACAGCACAGCACAGCACAGCACAGCACAGCACCGCACAGCACAGCACAGCACAGCACAGCACAGCACAGCACAGCACAGCACAGCACAGCACAGCACAGCACAGCACAGCACAGCACAGCACAGCACAGCACAGCACAGCACAGCACAGCACAGCACAGCACAGCACAGCACAGCACAGCACAGCACAGCACAGCACAGCACAGCACAGCACAGCACAGCACAGCACAGCACAGCACAGCACAGCACAGCACAGCACAGCACAGCACAGCACAGCACAGCATACCATCGGACTGTGCTCCTTCCTATGCTTCGCGTCCCATCCCGTCCCCTGACACTCCTCCCCACCGCTCTCCACCACTCTCCACTATGTCAGGTGGCACCAATATACAGGGGTCGTGGCCTCGGCACCAGGGTGCTGCAGAGAATCCTCAGGTGAATTTCCAGGCTGATGTGCTCACGCTCATGTGCCAAGAAAGCACCTAGGACTTGGATTTGGCTTGTAAGGCTGTGTACGTACGGACTGTCTTATAGACGTCTCCATGGCCCATCCGCGTAACTGTCTTATAGACGTCTCCATGGCCCATCCGCGTAACTGTCTTATAGACGTCTCCATGGCCCATCCGCGTAACTGTCTTATAGACGTCTCCATGGCCCATCCGCGTAACTGTCTTATAGACGTCTCCATGGCCCATCCGCGTAACTGTCTTATAGACGTCTCCATGGCCCATCCGCGTAACTGTCTTATAGACGTCTCCATGGCCCATCCGCGTAACTGTCTTATAGACGTCTCCATGGCCCATCCGCGTAACTGTCTTATAGACGTCTCCATGGCCCATCCGCGTAACTGTCTTATAGACGTCTCCATGGCCCATCCGCGTAACTGTCTTATAGACGTCTCCATGGCCCATCCGCGTAACTGTCTTATAGACGTCTCCATGGCCCATCCGCGTAACTGTCTTATAGACGTCTCCATGGCCCATCCGCGTAACTGTCTTATAGACGTCTCCATGGCCCATCCGCGTAACTGTCTTATAGACGTCTCCATGGCCCATCCGCGTAACTGTCTTATAGACGTCTCCATGGCCCATCCGCGTAACTGTCTTATAGACGTCTCCATGGCCCATCCGCGTAACTGTCTTATAGACGTCTCCATGGCCCATCCGCGTAACTGTCTTATAGACGTCTCCATGGCCCATCCGCGTAACTGTCTTATAGACGTCTCCATGGCCCATCCGCGTAACTGTCTTATAGACGTCTCCATGGCCCATCCGCGTAACTGTCTTATAGACGTCTCCATGGCCCATCCGCGTAACTGTCTTATAGACGTCTCCATGGCCCATCCGCGTAACTGTCTTATAGACGTCTCCATGGCCCATCCGCGTAACTGTCTTATAGACGTCTCCATGGCCCATCCGCGTAACTGTCTTATAGACGTCTCCATGGCCCATCCGCGTAACTGTCTTATAGACGTCTCCATGGCCCATCCGCGTAACTGTCTTATAGACGTCTCCATGGCCCATCCGCGTAACTGTCTTACAGACGTCTCCATGGCCCATCCGCGTAACTGTCTTATAGACGTCTCCATGGCCCATCCGCGTAACTGTCTTCGCGTCGCAAAAAGTTTCTATTTCTCCTCTCCTCTGTCCGTATTCGTCTCTACTTGGACTCTCCTCCGCTTCTGTTATCCTCTGTTTGTTTCTACTCTCCTTTTCAATTTTCCTGTGTGTCTCTTTTCTGATTCTTCTCTGTTGGAACCTCCTCTGCTTCAGTGATCCTCCCTTTCACTTCCCCACTCTTTCTATTCTCTTCTGCTGCTCTTCTCCTCTGATTCTATTATCCTCTCTTCCTCCCTCGCCACCATGCTCACTCGCAGGGAGCTCCTGTCGAGGGGCATAGGGGACATCTCTGCTGTCGTGTGGCCCAACCAGCGGTGAGTCGCTCTCACACCTGCCACTGCTGCCACTGATGCTATCGCTGCTACCCATGTGACCGCTGCTACAGGTGCCACCGCTGCCATGAGTGCTGCCTTGTACCATGAGTGCTGCCTTGTACCATGAGTGCTGCCTTGTACCATGAGTGCTGCCTTGTACCATGAGTGCTGCCTTGTACCATGAGTGCTGCCTTGTACCATGAGTGCTGCCTTGTACCATGAGTGCTGCCTTGTACCATGAGTGCTGCCTTGTACCATGAGTGCTGCTGCTAAAAGTGCTACTGCAGCCTCTTATGGTGATGATTGCTGCTGTATCTGCATGCATGAGAGGAACCTGTGGATCATGCCTTTCATGGCACCCACAGGGATCCCACACCACACCACAGAGCATGCACAACACTGGGCACACCACAGAGCATGCACAACACTGGGCACACCACAGAGCATGCACAACACTGGGCACACCACAGAGCATGCACAACACTGGGCACACCACAGAGCATGCACAACACTGGGCACACCACAGAGCATGCACAACACTGGGCACCCTCCCCTCCACTCCTCCCCTTTCCAACCATCTCCTGCCTGCCTCGCCCATCCCGCGTGCCTCGCCCATCCCGCGTGCCCCCGCGTGGATCACATGCAGCACGGCCCCATGGGGCTGCCAGTAACGTACATACAACCCATGCCCCTCCTCCCACCACGTCTTATCCTCTCTTCACCTCCTGCTCTCGCTCCCTCGCCTGCTTCGCCACGCGCGCCTGCCTCCCTGCCTGCCTCTGCTTCCGCTGGGGCATCCTGTGTCCCTCCGCACCGCCTTGCATCATATTCACTCCTTGTGACTCAACTTCTTCCCTGCATGGGTGTACCTTCACGAGTGTACCAATCACCGAAACATCTATATTCCTTACAATTCCTACTTTTCTGCTGCAGCTTGTTTGTATGGCAATCACAGCACTTGTGCTTTTCTTTTTCGTCTGCAGCTTGTTTGTGTGGCAGTCGGGGTTCCCTTTCGGCCGCCTCCAGACCACCACGATGCTCCTGCTGCCCGCACACGTATCACTTCCTGTTACCAGTCACTAACACATACTAATTCGTTATTCTTCTGTGCTGCAGCTTGTTTGTGTGGCAGTCGGGGTTCCGGTTCGACCGCCTCCAGACCACCACGATGCTCTTCAAGGGGCTACCGCCCGCACACGTGGACAGCAGCACCAACAGCACCAGCAGTGGCAGCAGCTTTGGTAGCAACAGCAGCAGCGGCAGCAGCGAAATCAGCGTGGCGGACGAGCAGCAGCAGCAGCTGCAGAGTGATAGCGGTGCAGGCTTTCAAACAGCAGAGGGGACAATAAGGCAACGGGAAGGTGCAGCAGCACATGAGCAAGGCAGGGAGGGCAGGCAGACAGAGGAAACAGAGGCAGCACATGAGGCAGAGCATGAGGAGACAAGCGAGGTGCAGTGGGGGAGTTGGAGCATGCACATGCCACCGCCCCTGCAGGTGCCTTACCCGCTCAAGGCGCCCCTGCCAACCCTGGTGAGTCGCCACGCGACGGCAGCAGGTGGTGCTGCTGCGGCACGGCCGGTGGCAGGGCAGCAGGCAGCGGGGGAGGCAGAGGGGCAACGAGGCGGAGGCGTGAAATTCCCGTGGGGGAGATGACGGTGACGAGGGGAGAATGATGGTGATGATGGGGAGTGATGCTGGGATCTCTCAGAAACCATTACCGTAGCTCTTTAGTGTTCATGTTGATGTGTCTGAACTTTGATACTGTGTTGCATTTCCCATCAATTGCCACCTCAAGCCAGCGCGCTTGGTTGGCATCAAGTCTATTTTAGCATCATGTAACAATAACTTATTTATCTATGGCCTTTGGCCTACCCTCTACTCTCCAGCATGCAGACTGTGGGACTACGGGTGTTACGGTACTACCAAGCAAGAGCATAGTCAGTGCAAGAGAAGCATATGTGATGCTAGCAGCAAGCACATGCATCAGCACGTGCATATCGCATCGGCACATATCGGCACGGTACATGTTGTACCAGCGCATGCATCCGCACAAGTATCAGCAAATGCAGCGACACATGCCATCAAGCTAGCTAGCCGCCGCAACCTAAACTAGGGATTCAAGTGAGTGAGTGGGTGTAACCCTCACGAGTCATGACAACTTCTACGGTAATACACCTCTCAATGTCCCGCACAATGTACAGCGCACAGCACAGCAACGCCATGTGAGCAGCCCCAGCCCCAGCCACAGCAGAGGCATGCAAGGAGCAGAGCAGCAGACATTCGAGCTTGAAAAGCACTGGCTGGGCGGGGCCGCCTGCCACGCCGCCTTGCCATGCTCTGCTGCTCAATGAAGGGGAGGCATAGGAGACACCACAACTCGCGAGCCAACCCAGCATTCAGCAACTGAGCATCACAGAAGAAACGACCACCAACACCCCTCTTGCTGCTACAATCGCCGACACAACACGTCCTTTTCTGACCTCTGAATCTTGCCTAGCCCGGGAAAGCCAGCTCGCCAAAAACGACGGGCCGGCGCAGCGAGACGCAGCGGCGTCCGATACACGTGGATAAAGGAGAGAGAGAAAAAAAGAAGCAGAAAGGGAGGGCGCTTCCGGAGAGAGACTTGTGAAGTCTGAAAAGGAAGATCGTGGCTGAACTAAACCACAAGTAAGTGCACGCAGTAGGCGTCACGCGCGCGCGCGCCGTTGCGTCACGCGCGTGGTTGCGAGGTCCATGATTTCAGCGACTCGCGAGGCCCGCCGAACCTAATCGCATCCGACCGCATTATTCCGATCTCCGTGGCGCCTTTAGGCGATCCGCATCGCGTGCCGAGAATGCTCTCCCTCCGCTCCGGCCACGTCTGCTCCAAATCCTCCAGATCTAAATAATCAAAATCCTCCGCAAGGTCATCGCCTTCCGCCTCGCCGTGGCGCATTCCGAACGCTGCTGCGGCTTGTTGGCCATGGCTTTCAGATGAGCCGTCTGCTTCGTCCCGCAAGGCTCCATCCGATTGACTGCTCGCGGTCTCGCGAGGCTCCGCACCAGAAGCGGAGGAGGAGGAGTCTTCTGGAACGTGAAGCGTCTCAATTTCGGTTTCCCCGGTTCCGTAAATCACGGTGACGGATTCGTCGAATCGCAGCCTCGACTTGCCATCCTTGGTGCTTATATTACTTTCCGACCGTGTTGAACAATCCTCAGAAGCCATTGTAGAGCAGTGGAAGAAAATGTGTTATGTCTGAACGAAACTTGTCTCGGAGAAAAACTAGGTGAACTGTTCACGTAACTAGGACGCGTCGCATCGCAATACATCAGTTTACGACACTCCAGACCTACATATGCACGTCGTTACTGCACGTACCTAGGGGTTGCCGAGTGGATCACAGGTTCGCGGCAAGAGAGGTGGTTGGCTGCTGGGCTTCTTGGTTGCTCCTTGACACTGGTTGGACGGCTTGCTTTGCGGAGGAGATTGTGAACCCCCTTCCGAACGGCTGATTAGATAAACTCCCTGCCCGTCGAAAAGCATAGTCAGTCGTTGTGTTGAATCAATATTCCAAAAATGTGGGTGGAATTTCTCCAGAAGCTGGGTGGGATTGCCACAACTGATATAAATTGCAGCGTCGTAGCCAGCAGTGTTCCGATCCGCGCGAATAGTTATCTACGAGCAAAATATATGGGAAACTGCCCTGGGAAGAGCATCCGCTGTTCAGCAACATGCCGAGTCAACAATGCCAGGCTCGGAAGAAGTTTCTTCTTTCGTTGAACGAAAGGTTTATCAAATAGTAACAAAAAATCAATACTCCACTTGCAACGTCAGTAGTCCAATGGTTAGGATATTTGCCTTCCAAGCAAAAGATCCGGGTTCGATTCCCGGCTGACGTAGCTTTTTGTAATCACTTGGTCCTGGATTGTAGACCTTGACCCACCTCCCCCCAGCCCATCTAGAACACTGCCTTGTTTGTTGCTCGGGAAAACTATGGACCTACCTTGATTGTGGCCCGTTTTGGGTCAACACGTGAACACGTTGGGCAGCAGAAGCTCTCACTCACACTGTATCAACACCTACCCTACAAGGTGCAGCAAGCCATATTGATAACATTGGGCACCTCCACACGTGCAGAAGTTTTTCACATCACAACCAGTAAGACATTTCACTGGTGTATAAACAGCACTGCTCGAGATTCTTGAAGCGCCTCAATGATCAGTACAGCTAGCGTGCCGATTTCCTAGAGCACCAACCAACAGCACAACATGGCTCCATCCAAATTCCTAAGACCCTAAAGAATCAGCATAAGCAGTGAGACGGTTCACTGGTGCTTTAGTAAGCGGCACACCACATGGCTTTGCATCCTTTTTCTCTTAGCAACCGAAGTTGCATGTGTTGGAAATCCGAATACAGTATAACGAATACTGTATACCAGTGTGCTGTTTGGTTTTAGTGTAGTACTCGTTATAAGCCTCCAGGTCCTACAATAATTGTCACAATTATTGTAGGGCCACAATTATTGGAGTCTAGCATTATTGGGGGGTAGAGGGTACAATTATTGGTACACCATTATTGGTGTGAATGGGTCATTCTGGAGGGGTAGCTGGATGCATATATACCCTGCTGTGTCACATCATTGAGCTACTCATTCTGTCTTCTACTTTTCAATGATCAGTGTAAGATTTGTATCTTGTTCTTTTCTACAAACACGTTTCCGCTACGCTGGCACTATGCCTTTCTAACATGGTATCAGAGCTACTCTAGGGGGCATGCTGCCAAAACTGGTTCAGGATTACTGGCATTCACTTTGGATAGGTACCTGCATATAGTCAGAGTACCGCACACCCGGTCTACGCGTTCGTACACCTGGTGTTCGCTGCTGGTTGCAACCGCGCGTCTACCGCACACTTGGTGGACGGTTTTGTCAAGGTCATGGCGCACTTCGATGGCGAAGTGGATCCTGGATATGCGGCTTTTGAAGAAGCCATCATGACTCAGCATGAGCACCTGGAAAGCATGATTGCAAAGGCACCACCAGCACTCCAAGCTTCGTTAAGGGACAAGTTTGGAATGACAATCCAGCCAAGGACAGCGTTCTCTCACGAGTCTAGCAATCCGTCCACCCGTGGACACTCTCATTCAAGCACTCCGCGTACTGACCAAACTCGTGCAAATGTTCATGCAGGAATTGATGGTGAAGGGGAAATGGGCATACCTCAAGGAGGACAGTCATCCCAAGGGAGGGATGCATCCGTCCAAGGAGAGGAGAAGGCCAATCCCGCACCTCAATCATCCATGCAAAGGGAAGCACGGGGGAGGAATGATGAGTATGGGAGTGCAGTGATTGGTGGAATGAGAATTGGACAGATTGGGCAACAGGGTGACGGAAATGGTGACGTGGGCGTGGAAGGTGTGGGTTTTGCCTCCTACACTATTGGTGCTCCCCCACTACGACGACTTGCGACTAATTCCCATCCCATTGGAGTTCCTCCCATGGCCAGGTCTCACCTTCATGGCGGCTATGCCGTACCTCCGCGTGCACCACGTCCACCGATCGGCGCACACAATGTGGACAGCATGGGGCGGATGGGATACGGAATGCAGTCAAGCGGTGTCATGCGACGCGATCAAGTGGAAGTGATGGAACGTCAACTTGGTGGACAGAATGGAAACATGCAGCGCACGGTACAGCTACCTCGACCGTCAACCATGCCTACTCTCTTCGACCCCGCTCCACGTGAATACACGGAAGAAGACAAGGAACGACTGTCACGCAAAATGGTGGGAGCAACGGTGGACAAGGCATTCACCACCACTCCGTTTGACGGCTCAAATTTCCGCGAATGGGCACTACGGTTTCGTATGAACGCCCGCGTCACGAATCTGTGGGAGTTCTTTGTGACCCTGCAGTATCCGGTTACCATAGGAGATGGTGACATTGACGACGCTATGGAGCGGCTGGAAATGCTACAGGCGGATTACTCACAACGTGCGGCGCTCGCTTTTTCGGTCCTATTGCACAGCGTGAGCGCCACGATTCAGCTACAACTGGACATGTTTCAGGAATCCTATAGTCTGGCATATGAAGCATGGGAGTACTTAATGGATACTTACCAGGCCAAAGATTCGGTGGCGAAGGTATCTCTCATGAAGGAGCTGGACAACCTGAAAATGGGGAATGCGGAAAGGGTGGAGGAGTACGTGAACCGCGCAACGGCAATCCGGGACAAGTTAGCACTCGCGGGGAAGATGGTGGATGAGGACACATTTACCTTAAATCTGCTCACCGGACTACCGGCGCATTGGGAGGAGATGAGGCACTCGGCAATGCTACACAACGTGACGGACAGCTTCACCTTGCAGCGGATGATGATTCAGGAGCAGAGATACCACGACCTCATCACGAAGAATAACCGTGACCGGCGTCCACCTCGTATGGTTGGACAAGCACGTGGAGACCACTCACCTTCTCCAACTACTAAGGGCAAAACCGGGAAGGAGGGGTCCAGTGGGGAGAAAACGCATGGCAAGGAAGGAAGTGCGGATCGCTCACCTCTTCTGTGTTGGTACTGCAAGGAGGTCGGCCACCCCTTCTTCAAGTGTACTAAGGCACCCCCTGGCTGGACACCACCAGGGTGGGAACCGCATACCAGAAAGGCAAAACTGCACACCAGCGATAGTCGTTCGTCCTCCCCACGAAGGAGTCGCAGCCCCAAGCGTGACGACGAAGCATCAACACAGCAAGGGACAGCCGGGGAAGACAAGCAACGTACTGTTACGTGCATTGCAACGGTGGGATCGTCACAAGCTACCTTACCACCAGCTAAAGCGTCATCTTGGATGCTGGATAGTGGATGCAGCCAGCACATGACCCCGGACAAGCGCTGGTTTGAAGAGTTAAGGGAGCTGGATGAACCTGTTTGTGTGGAGCTCGCTAATGGGAGCGAGCTGAGCAGCACTATGACGGGAACGATCAGAGCAACGGCACCTGATGGGACAACAGTCCGGTACACTGACGTCCTCTACGTACCTGGCCTGAAGAGCAACCTGCTCTCCTATTGTCAGCTGCTGAAAAAGGGAGCACACATCAATACGATTGCTTATGGAGACGTAGAAGTCACCATGAAAGATGGAGAGGAGTACGTGCGGATTGGAGTTGGCAAGAACGTGGATGGAGTGCTCGTGGTGCAGTATGAGCATGCACTTACATCCGCCCATGATACTGGACATTCCCATGATGGCGCGTCATCAAAGAAGCATGATTGTGAAGAGGGTACACGTTCCTGCACACCTGGAGTGCAGTTGAGTGTCCGCTCTGCACATGCATCCGTTCAGTACCGCATGGCACACAAAGCCTGCATCGTGCGGAAGCGGGCACATGATGATACCACACATGAAGTCTCACCCCACGTTGCGGTGTGGACTTCAGGGGGAGAAGAAAAACGGTTCGCGATGGATTTGGGAGTCGATGGAGCTGACCCTGTAAAACAGGACTTACCTGGAGCTGATGAAGTTGCTGCAACCCAAGGAAGCGGAGATGCAGATGACTTACCTGCAGCAGGTGTCTCCATTTCGGAAGACGTGGAAAATGTCAACGTTGGAGATGCGGTGAACGAGTCAAGAAAGAAGCATCTTACCTGCACTCTACTGGCTGGTCAAGGCAATCAAGTCAAGGATTATGGTGTTGTACTCACCTGTGCAGCCACCTCGACCGGGCCTGCACACCATGGCATCACCTAACTCCACACTCACTCGTGTGCTTGTGGCTGTGTTCGCGGATGACTACAAGCACATGGGTGAGGGGGAGGTGGGGTGTGGAGTGTATCTGGTGGCCCAGGAGTGGGACATGGAGTCAAGGAGCATAAGTGGATGACCTACTCACCAAGGTTGCCAATAAGCAGGGGGAGTAGGCAGAAAGGATGCAGCCGGTCGTCACACGTCGTGTTGCAGCGGTATCGTGCGACTGGTTGCTGCTGATCAACGGCACCACCTGAGGGAATGATGGAGAACATACATTGGAACACGCATTACTGCATACCTGGTGTGGACGGTTCTCCATACCTGGTATGCACATCTCGGCATACTTGGTGTGCACTGCACACATGGAGTGGACATTTCTGCACATATGGAGTGCAGATTTCAGGGATACTTGGAGTTCGTCGGCATGCGCAGCTCTCCAGCTGATGGAGTTCGGCAACTCTGGCTGCTACCGTGTGTCTGCTGGAGTGTATGGGGAGCATCACAGGGCAACATGGGTGAAGTTTGAGCAAACTTGGCAAGATTGCCAAAGCATGGGGAGAAAGGCTTACGATGATGCAGTAGGCGCGCAGCAGATCGTCAGCCGCTGACGAACGCAAGGTGTCGCTTCTATCGCGCGAAGTGTGCGCCCGCCAACGTAATTCCGTGCCAGCCACACGCCACGCGTTATCCACTACCAATTCGCGTCCTCCACAGTCGTTGCAGGCGCGGATCCGCGGCGGTTTCACGTCGACGGACACCAAGTGTGCGATGAAGTCAGTAGCAGTGCCAATCGCGTATCATAAAGTCTACGGTTTCGGAAATCGGCGTGCGCTAAGGGCATTCCGCCATGACGATACGCGGACTACGCCATGGTTTTGAGGAGATTTCACCGTGGAGCTGCTACGGTTTCGTCAGCAGCAGCCACTACTCTCTAGATCTCGATCTTGAATGTCGAGATTGGAAGGAGGGAATGGAAAACGTGACGGCATGTGGTTTGGTTGGAGTTTGGAAGGCCCAAAGGTTCGGAGGGGAAAGGTGCTACAGTGACAAGCAGCTTGGCCAACACCAAACCCTAACTTGGTTTGGGCGCACCCCTACCTTGTGGTGGTATACCACCTCGACCAACCCATCCTCCAAAACGGTTTCACTAAAACCTACAGCAAGGGGGAGTGTTGGAAATCCGAATACAGTATAACGAATACTGTATACCAGTGTGCTGTTTGGTTTTAGTGTAGTACTCGTTATAAGCCTCCAGGTCCTACAATAATTGTCACAATTATTGTAGGGCCACAATTATTGGAGTCTAGCATTATTGGGGGGTAGAGGGTACAATTATTGGTACACCATTATTGGTGTGAATGGGTCATTCTGGAGGGGTAGCTGGATGCATATATACCCTGCTGTGTCACATCATTGAGCTACTCATTCTGTCTTCTACTTTTCAATGATCAGTGTAAGATTTGTATCTTGTTCTTTTCTACAAACACGTTTCCGCTACGCTGGCACTATGCCTTTCTAACAGCATGCACTACTCGGCTGAACGGCCAGCACTGACCGCACGGAGTGCCCTTTGTTGTCCACCCATGTGAGGCTGCCAAATTGAAAAGATTGTGAAGCCCACTTCACCACCACAGTCACCGTAAAAGTCTTTCGTTGCCCGGGTTCGATTGTGAAGCTTGACGGTGACACTTTCACCTTCACTCCGGCGGGATTCTTTATTCTCGCCGTATACTTCGACGTGGCATCCGCGACATTCGTTACTGTCCGTGTAACTGAGACTTTCTTGTGCACTTGAGGGAGCGAGATAGCTGGCCGGTTCAAATTCTTCGCGGAAAGAGCCCTGAGAGAAGTTGTGCCGAACTCACCCTTCGCCCGGTTGTAGTTCTGCCCGGCGAGAAAGTTTTGGAAGTCTTGCTCCCCGGCATTATAGGTTAACCCAGGGTTAACCACCCTAGCAGGCACCACATGCCCTGCTCCAATCTCCCACGGAGTCGCAGCTCTCCCAAACTCGTTTTGGATCGCCCCGTCACTAATATCAGTGGTGCGTGCTGTAGTCATCATTGCCGACATGATCTGCAAGGGCGTCCAATCAGGGCGCTGCTGGATGATGAGAGCAGCAATGCCAGCGATGTGTGGTGTGGCCATTGACGTCCCTGAGAGCGCTACAAACCATCCCCCGGAGCCAACGGTCTTGTCGGGAGCAGCAGCCCAGAGCTCAACCCCCGGGGCGATGATGTCGGGTTTGAGGATGGTGTTGGAGGGGTAGGCTGCTGGTGTGGCGGCTGAGGGCTTGGCGAGCGGACCGGTGGAGGAGAAGTAGGCGACTACCGGGGCGGCGGTGGCTGCTGGGGAGATGCTGGCTGGGATGCGCACCCCGTTGAGGGTTGACACCGTGCTGGCTGTGGTGTTGAAAGGGGTTTCAAGGGGTGCTGCGGTTGCTGCTGCTGCTGTTGTGGAGGAGATGGATGCACCGTTGCGAGAGATGGAGCTGTAGCGTGGGGCAGTGGGGAAGGGGCGGGAGGGGCACAGGGACAGACGCATGGGGGGATGGGAATGGGAATGGGAATGGGGGGAACAGGAGAGGAACGAAGAAAGTTGCAGAGCGTGCGATAGCCCGTGGGTGCAAAGACGATTCTAGCATCACACCCTGCTCCTTCTTTTCACCCTCGTCTCACCCTGCCCTCCCCCACACACACCTCACCTAACACCCACAGTCATATAGCTGCAGAGGACTTGGACCCTCAAAGCTCAACCTCACCCCACCACTCTCTTTCTTTCCTCCCCCCTCCCCTCAAAACGCATGTCCCATCGTTACCTGGCGCCCACAGTCATGTAGAAGGGTGCGAAGTTGCAGAGCGTGCGGTAGCCCGAGGCTGCAGCAGAGGATGGGCGGCCCTCATTGCCCGCTGCAAAGGCCACAAACACCCCCGCCTGATGGATGGGGGGAGGGCAAGGGGAAAGGAGAGAGTTGAAAGAGGGAGACGAGTGAAGGCAAGAGAGGGGAGAAGATTAGGTGAGTGAAATGATCAAGGCAGTTGAGCCAGTGCACACTCGAATAAGGAGAGGAGATACAGGTAAGAAGATAGAGATAAGGGCGCTCCGCGTTGCTACTAACCCCATAAAGAGATACACGTACGACTCATATTGCCACTCACCGCATTGACACTGATAAACGGCACGTCGTCAAAATAAGTATCCGTTGAACTGGCTCCGCCCAGCGACAGGCTCAGCACATCCACACCGTCGGCGACGGCCTGATCAACGGCTGAGAAGATGTCGGTGCTGGTGGCGTACAGGTTACCCCCTGCCTGCCAGAAGACCTTGTAGACGGCCAGGCGTGCCCCTGGTGCCATGCCACTGGCCGCGCCGATGTTGGAAATCTGCACGTTGCTGTTGCCTGCTGCTGCCCTGGAGATGGAGAGAGGGGAGAGAGAAGAAAAGGGGAGCAGACACGCATGGAAGGAGAATGAGGGGAATGCGTCCAGCGCCACACATCGTGCCACCTGCAATGCTCACCATGCCCTATGCAGCATGCCCCACGCACCTTGTCCCATGCACCATGTCCCATTTCCCATGCACCATGTCCCATTCCCCATGCACCATGTCCCATTCCCCATGCACCATGTCCCATTCCCCATGCACCATGTCCCATTCCCCATGCACCATGTCCCATTCTCCATGCACCATGTCCCATTCCCCATGCACCATGTCCCATTCCCCATGCACCATGTCCCATTCCCCATGCACCATGTCCCATTCCCCATGCACCATGTCCCATTCCCCATGCACCATGTCCCATTCCCCATGCACCATGTCCCATTCCCCATGCACCATGTCCCATTCCCCATGCACCATGTCCCATTCCCCATGCACCATGTCCCATTCCCCATGCACCATGTCCCATTCCCCATGCACCACACACCCCATGCACCATGAACTCACCCCGCACACCAGGTGCCGTGCCCGAAAGAATCACGCGGCGACAGCCAGTGGCCTGAGAGGTCGATGGTGGTACCCTTTCTCTCAAAACCCACACAGCATTCAACATGCACCAGACAAGCACTCACCCCGCACACCAGGTGCCGTGCCCGAACGAATCACGCGGCGAGTCCCAGTCGGCCGAGAGGTCGATGGTGGTGCCGCCGCTCTCAAACCCCGCGTGAAACACGCCCCCCCCGATGATCTTGTTGTTGCATGTGAAGTCGCTTGTCGTGGGACACGTGCCTGACCATCCAGCAGGGAGCGTGCTGCTGTAGCCCTGGTGGGGCCGAGGAGGGTGGAGGGGCGAAAGGGGAGAATGGGTAGTGGTGGGTCAGTGGGGTGCTGGGCATGCTGCTGTCGCCCTGCTGGGCATGCTGCTGTCGCCCTGCTTCCCAGAACGTGGGGAGATGATAGGGTGCGGACGATGGGGAGGGGAGGAAGGGGATGAGGTGAGGGGAAGGGAGGGGGTAGCTGAGTTGCGGATGGGGAAGAGTGGCTGATGGCATGGTGATGGTGGTGGGGAAGGGAGAAGGGACGGGAATGCGAAAACTACTGTATTAAGGGGCGACAGGTGGAGGGAACGAGAAGGGAGAAGCGCGGATGGTGATGGCAAAGCGAGGCGCGTACCTACCATGTCGTCAAAGGAAGCGTGCTCGGGCCATATGCCGGTGTCCACGATGCCAATCACCGTGCCGTCGCCCGCGCTGCTGGGTCCGCCCGCGTCGGCCCAGAGAGACCCGGGCAGGCCGAGGAACTTGTACGAGTGGGTGGTGGCGGGGCGCACCACGCGCGCCTGCGTCACGGACGCCACAGATGGGTGGCGCCTCATGCGCTGCACCTGCGCTGGCGTGAGCGTCGCGGAGAAGCCGTTGGACGCGTGCTTGTAGCTGAGAAGGGCGGAGAGGGGAAAGTGGGGAGAGGGGAAAGTGGGGAAGGTGGGATGGGAGCGTGATGGGGAGATGAGGAACTTGTATGAGTCGGTGGTGGCGGCGCGCAGCACGCGGCGTGCCTGCGTCACGGACGCCACGGACGGGTGACGCCTCATGCGCTGCGCTGGCGTGAGCGTCGCGGAGACGTTGTCGACACGTGCGAGTGGGAAGGGTTGGCGGGCGTACAGGGGGGGACGACGGATGGAAACGACGAGGGGGGTGAGGGTCGCCGAGAAGGCGGCTTGTAACTGGCCGCGGCGGATGGGGGGGAGATGGTGCTTGTGATAATGGAGCCAGAGGCAGGAGAAGGGGAGTCGACATGCCGACGGGTGGCCTGAGCATCTCGCACGACGCACGCGCGGGAGACACAGAGGGCTGCCGCGGTGCGGTTCTTCCCCGGATCTACAGCAATATGGTCTGCCGCACATCCGCGCCTTAGAACGCCTCGATGTCCACCCGCGCGGGTGTCTCGCGCGGATAGCAGGAATAGACGGGGCTCAAATTTTGCAACACCTTCCGGGTGTCCACCCGCGCGGGTGTCTCGCTTCACCGCCTGCTTTTGAAACGCCCAAAAGCCTGCTGCATGCGCCGTAGCGGCAGCAGCAAAGAGCAAGGGCAACGGCTACCACTCTCGTCGGTAAGACGTCCCTCTTGTTCCTCTCTTCTCCCCTCACCTACGCACCATCTTTCCCTTACCTGTAGAGCATCTTCCCCGCGGCCACCCCGCTGTCTCTCAGCACGGCCTGCTGCATGCGCTGCAGCAGCTGCTTGAACGCCCTCACGCCCGGCGCCCTCACGTTCACCCGCGGCCGCCGCGGTCGACGGCCAAGCCATCCTAAACCGCTGGTAGTAGCCGCACCAGCGGCGGAGGAGGAAACAGAAGCGGCACCAACGGCAACGGAACCGTTGGCGGCGCCGTCTGACGCCGCGTCTGTCGCGCAGCCGTTAGGGTCGCTGTCCCAGACGGCTGTTGCTGGGAACCCGGGAAATCCGCCGCGGTACGAGGCGACAGGCGGCGCGGAACGTAGGCGGACGATGTAGAGCGACGAGACGTCGGGGGGGGAAGCTGCGGGGGTTGGGGAAACGGCGGAGATAATATGAGCGGCGGTACTAAACACGCCAGTTCGTCGCCTCACTGCGTGCGCCTAGCTTTCAATAATCCTGAATGCGCCTGAATGCCTCGCTTCAAAGGTACTCGGGGTACAAGCTTACACGGAAACAGCAGAAGTGAGCTTCACAGTCATATCTTAAATGTCGTAGCAGCTTCGAAGCTAATATGAACGTCGGTAACGCGTGCGGCTGTGCTCGTACCATGGATCGGGAGGAGCAGCGGCGATGCGGATAGCGAGACGAGGAGCACGAGAAGTAATAAGTGGCTTCGTTTTTCCCCGCGGGTCTGTACTACAAGGTCGCAGTGTGAGTGGCAGTGTGAGTGATGCGATAGAAGACGTTGTCTTTGGGAATGGACGAGCGGGAATGGAGGCCCGGGACGGAGACTCGGTCTGAGCGAGCCAGAGTGTCTTAGCCGTGAGTCCATGTTTAAGCTCTAGTTTGTTCTCCTTTTGGTATCCAGACGCTACCGTACGTGTAATCTTGGAATGAACACAAGTCTAGATTGGTGTGCGTGTCGGTCGGCTACTGAGACCCCTGCGAGATTAAAATATTCGTTGCAAACCGCGAATCCTTTTGGCAAGTCAGGCCTCGTGCTGTGCTGTGATGGATTGTGGAACTGGGAATACTGACTGCGGTGGCGTGGCAATAAAACCAAGAAGCAGGAACATGGCTTGCTTCACGGCTCACCTGGTTCTTTCTTCTCCTCTGAACGGTGGGAAGGGCGACAAGACGAAAACCCGGTTACCTGGTCTTCAATCGCAGCTCGCGTTCCCCGCGCTTCAATGTTGGGCTGCGGCGGCTGCGCTTGACCGGGTCGCGGGGAGTCGGCGGAATGGAAAAGGGAGGAGGGGAAAATGTGGGATCAAAATATCGTTGTGCGGTGGTGACCGAGGAAGAGCAGATTGGTTTGGGGGGTAAGATGGAGCCTGGAGGGAGATGTGGCCAATACACGCGGTCGTTGGAGGTTGCGTGGTGTACTGTATGTCAGCGGCACGAAAAAGCAAGCTGGCTTGTGGGTGATTGATCAGGTAGGGAGAACTGGGGGAACGTTGCTTTTGCGACGCGACTGGGCGCAGAACCAGAGGACAAACAGCCTTGATCTGGCGCACTAGAGTCCACCACAGGTGACAGCAGAAAATGACACATCCCCACTCAAATGCTTGACAGCTGGTCTTCGGGACTCTTAGGATGCGTATTGTGTGCAGCAAGGATGAACATAACGTTTCTTCGTCTATAATAGCACGGTAACGAGTTTGAGGCATGTAGACGAGTCTGGACAGTCGCATTCATCCGATTGAATGAGATCCAGAACTCCAGTTTTTGTAAAGGAAGTGGATTTCGGAACACTCCCTGAGCTTGTCCAACTGCGATGATCAAGAAAGGACAACTGGGCAGGTTGTAAATCTGATTCACATCGCGAAGCTGGACTTTCGAATGTGTGTGGAGGACGTGCCTTCTGGACGTGTACAGTGTGTGTCGACGGTGCAGTCGATGCTCGTTCTTCACTGGAAATCCAAGTTGCTGTGCGTCATACTACTGAGGAACAGCCATCACTTGTTTCTGCTGGAGGCAGTGATTCTCTATAGCATGGCTTGGTGTATTATATTGGTGAAGTCACTAGTGGTGCACCATTGTGCCTACCTCTTTCTCCTTTTTGGGTTGCGTAGCAACCCTTTATATTTGGTTTCACATTTTGGGGATACGGTATCATTTCAACTGTAATTTTCCATGCACTCTTTGGAGCACCTGTTTGAACTTTCTGAAACTGTGTTCAAACGGATGCCTCAAAGAGTAAATAACAACCACTATTGAATGATATCAGTAAATGTGAAACCAAATACTATGTGTTGGAAAAAATTAACTCTAAGCGCCTCTGTCGTGTCGAAATACCAAGTCAGAAGCGAAGCGAAGCATATCGAAGCACTGGCGAGTCAACCCTTGGAGGTTGAGCAGTTGCTGGAGGTTACGCGAAAGTCAAAAGTCAGCGACCTTTGACCTGACAAGTACAGAGCGACAGCAAGGACACACAACTAACTCGTTACAGAGCAGTTGTCCGAGTCGTCACTGTATCGAATTGCAACAGCAATAGTAAAACAGTTGGAATCGTATCTCCTCGGATTCCTTGTACTTGTTGGGCTGAGAAAGCCCTAAGGATCTTTTGCAGGGGATAACTCTGGGTAGGAACTTGTAATAGCGGAAGCGTTCAATGAAGTTTGTGAACCGACCTTGCACTGGTGTGTGAGAGCAAAGTAGATTGAATTAAACAAGCAAATACAAGGTTTTATATAAGAGTACAGGGAATACGAATAGATAGATAACTGTATTGCTGTTGCGATTCGATACAGTGCGACTCGGGCAACTGCTCTGTAACGAGTCAGTTGTGTGTCCTTAACTGTCGCGCTGTAATTGTCGAGTCAAAGGTCGCTGACCTTTGACTTTCCCGTAACCTCCAGGCGGTTACCCTAACCTCCGAGGTTTGACTCGATGCTTCGATTCGGAGTGCTTCGCTAGTGTCTTGGGTTTTGACACGACAGAGGCGCATTAGGATTTATTGTTCCCAACACTCCCCTTCGCTTCTGGAGTGTCACTGCTGATGACGTGGCCTTGTCCAGTCAGCAGCATGCAGTATTCGAACTTCTGCTTTCCGAGCTTCTTGGTCAAGTAATCGGCTGCCATCTCAGACGTGGGACAGTATGACAGATCGAGTTTCCCCTTTTCGATCTCGTCCTTCACGAAGAAATAGCGCAGGGCGATGTGTTTCGTCCTGTTTGCGAAGCCGTTCTTGTTGGCGATGCGAATTGCTGATTGGTTATCGCAGAACACGGTGAAGCTGGGTAACTCGGCTAGCTTCGCTTCTTCCAGCAGTTCGCGAAGGTAAAGTCCCTCCTTGGTGGCTGAGAAGAGTGCAATATATTCCGCTTCAGCTGAAGACAGTGCGATTAACTCCTGCTTGCTCGACTGCCAGGAGATAGGGCCGATAGGTTCGAGACGGTAGACATAGCGGGTGCGTGAGCGCCTGTTATCAGTGTCTCCGGCGTGATCGGCGTCGACGTAGCCGATTAGCTTGGTTGGTGTAGTTACGTTTTTGTGATAAGTTAATCCGATCGTCGCGGTGCTGACGAAATAGTGGAGAGCGCGATCGAGTTCCGCAAGGTGCTCTGCTTCAGGCTTCTTGAGATAGGTGGCGAGCTGACTCGCGGAGTAGGATAAGTCAGGGCGGCATGTGACTGCTGCGAAGAGAAGGCATCCGAGCTTCTTCTGATAGTCGCGTATGCCGGCGGGCTTGAGTAGAGTAGATCTTCGCTTTTCGGTTCCTGACGTGTAGCGGTAAGGCGTGGAGATGGTGCTTGGTGTGAGGTCGAAGCGTTTCGCGATGGTGTCGGCGTACTTCTCGGCGCTTAGGTAGATTGCGTTTTCTTCCTCGCGGATGTTGAGCCCGAGGTACTGCGTAACGGTAGAAGAGACCGTGAGCGTGAGGTCTTTCTGAAGCTCCCCTTCGAACCACGTGGCGATGCCGTCGGTTGACCCAATGTAGAGGAGATCGTCCACGTAGACGATTAGGAGAACGTAGTCGCTTCCCCTTGTGAGGCGATACATGCCCTGGTCGTGCGGGAGTTGTTTGAAACCGATGCGGATGAGGCGGGCGTGTAGGTACTGCTGCCACAGTCGCGGTGCCTGCTTGATCCCATAGAGCGACTTAAGTAGTTGACAGACTCGGTTGGGTTCGCCGTGGGAGCCGTGCGGAAGCTCGACGAAGATTTCTGCATCCACAGGTGCGTAGAGAAATGCGTTTGCGACGTCGATTTGTCGCAATTTCTTTTTCTTCATGGCGGCGACAGCGATGAGGATTCGGAGTGAGGTGTGACGGCTGACCGGAGCGAAGGTTTCGGTGTAATCCCTTCCGTGCTCCTGGTCAAAGCCGCGTACGACCCAGCGAGCTTTGAATTTGTCGATAGTGCCGTCAGCTTTCGTCTTCACACGGAAGACCCACTTCCCGGTAAGGATAGTCTTGTTTTGTGCTACGCCGATGGGAACGATTTTCCAGGTGTTGCGCTCCTCCAGTGCCTTCAGCTCTTTGTCCATGGCTTCACGCCATTTCTCCCTATGTTCCCCCCCCAGAGCCTGTTGAACCGTCGCAGGCTCCTTAGGAATGGCGGCGCCATGGACTGCGGTGACGAGACCAAGGATTTGTAGCCCAGTCTGTGAGTATCGAGGGAGTTCTGGATCCTCGGGATAAGCTGCTTCGTCTCCCGCTTCTGGGTCGGGTATGAAATTTGGCCCTACCCTTTCTGCTTCGTTGGTGTTGACTGTCGCAGGTGTTACGTAACCATTGTCAACGAAATGGTAGAAGACTTCGGCGTTGTTACTGTCGCGAGGGTTATCCTCATCCATGGGCACGTCGACGGAGCAATACGGAAGAGGTCCGGCTTCCTCTGATGCGTTGTCGACGTTCTGTTCATCCCAGTCTGCTTCGTCCGCTGCTGACGCGAAGGCTCGGTCACCCCGAAAGCCACCGGTGAGGTCCCGATTCTCGTGCAAGTTGGCGAGGTACGTCTGAAGGGTGAGTCGTTCGTAGAAGATCACATCACGTGCTGCTACTGTTTCTTTTGTGTGGACGTCGAAGATTCTCCACGCGTTGTAATTTTTCTCGATGCCGAGGTGTAGTCCCCACTGTGCCCGTTGCGAAAATCTTCCCGCTCGTGCTTCGGGGGGTCTGTACT